GTGTATTTGAGTCAAGTCGCTGACATAACCGTAGCCTAGAAACACGCACTAATGCCGGCTCAGCGATCTGCATTAATTTCATATGTACGCACTTTTAACCTAAAACGGGCAGGACTTGTGCCCACAGGCACCGGTCTGTCCAAGCGTTATGTATTGTTTGGTGATGTGATCCGTGACTTTACCCTTTTAGGAGTGATTGCTCGCCGTGTTGTTCACTTCGGAGATTTTGGCTCTGAGATTTAGGTTTTCGAGGAATGTTAACGTAGGGTGTAGGCTCGGATGTATCGTAGGTGGGTCCAGAGCTTAAGTTAACTGTTATTTGCAATAACCATAAGTGTCTATCAATTTTCTCTTATACAACAAGAATTATATGTTGAGCATAGATTCTCCTACATTTCACCGTCTTGTTTTTTTTTCTCAACCGCTGCCCCTTCTCAAAAGCCTTATTCTGTTGGCTCGCCTGGCACCTTCCCAAAACGCATCTTTAGTACTTGCATGAACTTGCATGAATCATCTCCAGGACTCGCGAATCTTAATTGTTGTTTTGGGAACAGTCGCGAATCCAAAAGCGTATTGAAATCCGCTTATGGCATGTCAATGGGCTCGCTATGCGCAGGTTTATTTGTGTGTTTTTTTTAGGAAATCGGTTGATCCCGTGACGGGTTGATCCCGATTAAAATAACAACCAACCAAGACACGCTGGTAGTATACGGCCAAGGCATACATTTTAGGAAACTCCTAAGGTTTATTTAGTTTAAAGTTTAATTAGTTGATTGCTTGTAGAATTTCCTTAAGTGTCTTCCGGTTGTTGTTAGACGACAAGTTATTATTGCTCGATAAGCTCCTGCGATCACCGTGACCCCCAGCGCGTTCCTGTCTGTTAAGCCTTGGACCAAGATGAGCACATCAGATCGAAGATCATTTCAAGTCGGCAAGTTCTTGCCTCATGCGGGTATTATACCGCTCCTGGCCAAGCCTGAATGTAAGAGCTATGGTCCGACGTAAATCTGGCTAATTGGAGGAGCCCGATTAGTGACATCTCCTATGAACTGACGAGTTGCTTTAAAAAAAAAGCCGCACGATATGTCATTCATTGACTAGTACATAATTCATGGTATAAGGTGTTGAACTAGATTGGTAAAGCCAATTGTGTCTTTATGATTTAATTTAAGCACTTAGTAAAAAACTAAATTTCATGAAGCTAAATCCTGGAGTTTATTCTCTGATCATGTTTGAACACACTTTTGCAGAATATGAGATTTGACAGAATTTTCATTTTTTCCAAAAAAATCTCTATATTTCCAAAACTCATCTCTACAACACTCAAGTACTTATTTTATGTTTTTATTCAGTTTCCTGGGGCTCAAATATGACAATTATCTATATATCTCATAACCATCGGCATGAATGCCGTTACTACGATGCCTTTCACTCCTGACCAAAAATCTTTTGGTAGTCAGTCAACACGTACCTGAACCTAGGCTTGTTCTCATGACACCCCACCAGGGCCTTCTTGACTCCCTCCTCGCTGATAGGAATATCTTCGTACCAACACTTGATTCCCTTTTTAGAGGCCAGATCCAGCATATCCAGCATCTCCTTTCTGCTTCCGAGATGAGAAGCACCAAACAGCGCACCGTTGCCGAAAATGTCGCCGACACTAACCTGGAGATTATCCTCAGGTAAACCAACAGTCACAAGCTTTCCGTGAACTTTCAATGTCCTCATATAGCTACCCACATCAAAGCCTTCTGACGAGTTACCACATTGGATGATCACATCAAGCTTTCTAGCGTACTTCGTCGCGAAATCCTTTTCTTCCCAGGTTGGAATAAAGTAATCGGATCCCAGTTCAGTTGCCACCTGTTTCTTGTCACTGGTTCTGGAGAAAGTGTAAACTGTTGCCCCAAGAGCCTTCGCCCACATAATAGCGAAATGGCCCAAACCACCGATACCGATGACCCCGACGCTCTTTCCCGGGCCAGCTCCGTTTCTCACCAAGGGAGAATAGGTGGTAATCCCCGCACACAGCATTGGAGCAACATCGCTATCAGACAGGTTTTCAGGCAGAGGAAACACCCAGTGACGATGAGCCCTGACGTGGGAAGAATAGCCACCCCAAGTCTTGTCTCCGTCCGGGTAATGGTCGTTGTAGGTATCAACCATCTGAGGACAATAAGTTTCGTTATCGGACTTACAGTCAATGCATGTACCGCAAGACCAGATCTGGGCTCCACAGCCAACTCTCTGGCCAATCTGGAAATCATCCACCTTGGGCCCAACAGCAACCACCTTACCAACAATCTCGTGACCTGGGATCACAGGCAAATCAGGCTTGGACCAACCAGCCTTGACGGTGTGGACGTCTGACCCGCACACTCCACAAGCTGAAATCTTGATGTCGACGTCGTAGTCACCCAGTTTCTTGGGAGTGAACTCGATCTTGGTGGCCTCTGACCATTTGTCGCAGTCGGTGACAGCAAATCCGCTGAACGTCTCTGGGTAAACCATTTTGATATGGCAATAAAAATTAGAAAAATTTGATTTTCAACTAAAAAAAACTGAGGTGTTATGCCTTACAACCATCCAGGGGCCACAGCCGTCCGTTTTATATAGCCAAGCTTTTGCAGCAGGACTAATACGCGCACATCCCACGCGGAAACCCCACAAAGTCGGACTTGGGATCATAACCCGTTTGGGTGTGTGTGCGCTGACAAAAACCCCACCCCTCGAAGAGCAGGACGTGGTTGCCTAATAGGGCAGGTGTCCCCCACATTCTATAGGTATGGGTTAACTTTGGCGATTATGGCCTCTCGAAAAGTTTCAATGATCTTATAAGACTGTGCGGATGTCTGTCTCAATGGGATTGCAGAAATAAACTTCAGATCCACATACCAACCACTCACCACCCAATTTCCAAATGCCAACATCTACCAGCGATATCATCATCACCGGCTTCAAAGTCTACGACATCCGTTTCCCCACGAGTCTCGATGGAATCGGATCTGATGCCATGCACCAGGGGACCAATGGGTCCCACCCATACCTACAATTGTTGACCAATAAGCCAGAACTTGTGGGTGAAGGAATGGCCTTCAGCAACGGTCGTGGTTCTGAGCTCGTGGTTGCAGCTATTGAGGCCTTTGCCCCACGTGTGGTTGGGAAGAAATTCAGCAGTCTTGTGGAGAACATGGGCAATACATGGAGGTATATGGTGAGCGACTCGCAGTACCGTTGGATCGGACCCGAAAAGGGAGTCACCCATCTGGCGACTGCAGCCGTGATCAATGCGATCTGGGATCTCTGGGGCAAAGTAACCAACAGACCAGTATGGAAGATCGTTGCCGATATGACACCAGAGGAGATTGTCAGGTGTATTGACTTCAGATATATCACCGATGCCATTACGCCTGAGGAGTGCATTGAGTTGTTGACGAAGACGAGTGTGGGCAAAGAGGACAGAGTCCAGGAAGCTTTGGAAAATGTCGCTGTTCCTGCCTACACGACTTCTGCTGGATGGTTGGCATTCAGCGGTGATAAGATGAAGAAAGTGCTACAGGAAACAATCGACCAGGGCTTCAAAATTTTTAAGTTCAAAGTTGGAAGCGATTTAGCGGCTGACAAACAGAGACTTCAAGCCGTCAGAGACATCATTGGATATGACAATGAGTACCAGGTGATGATCGATGCCAACCAGGTTTGGTCTGTTCCTGAGGCAATTGAGTGGATGAAGGAGTTGGTTCAGTTCAAGCCAGTTTTCATTGAAGAGCCAACCAGTCCAGATGATGTTTTGGGTCATGCAACCATCAGGAAGGCTCTGAAACCATATGGTGTGGGAGTGGCCACAGGTGAAATGGCTGCCAATAGAGTAATCTTCAAGCAATTGTTGCAGGCAGATGCAATTGACGTTTGTCAGATTGACTCTGTCAGACTCGGGGGAGTCAACGAGTGTTTAGCCGTGATGCTCATGGCTTTGAAATTCAACGTTCCATGTGTTCCTCATAACGGAGCTATGGGTCTTACTGAGTTAACTTCCCATCTATCAACTATTGATTACGTCTCGATCAGTGGAAGAAAGTCAATGCTTGAAGCAGCCGACTCTTATCGTGAGAATTTAGCTCATCCATGTGAGATCAGGGATGCGCATTATGTTACGCCAATGGACCCAGGTTATTCCATTGGTTATACTCCAGGAGCCATTGAGAAGTATCTCTATCCAAACGGAAGCTTCTGGACGAGTGAAATTGGCGAGAAAATCAAGCAGGCGCCTAAAGGTGGGGATGGCTTGTTGAGGGAGTGATTTCTTTCCGGAGTTTATAATACGCAATATGGAATTTTTAGGCTAACTTGGTCCATCATTTGAAGACTCGTAGGAATACCGTGAGCCGCACATTAGGCTTTCTTGACCAAAAAAGAAAAGAAAGGGCTTGTCTTGTAAAACTGACCAGATCAGTCTCATCTCATCGGCTTATCTGCAAGTTCTCCTCCACATCCTAATGCGGTAATACCCCCCACCTGTAATATACATGATTACCCCAGAACTTGATCCCAATCAGGTGTGGTCATATAAGAAATATGATGTGATATGACGTTCACAGGATGTGCGGGTTATCCGATGTTCTCCCCAAAGACCTTATAAAGTGCAGGATCGGTTGTGGAGAAAAAGTGCGCTCTACGTTTAGTTGGACATTTTAGATTGACCAATTATGACTGTTCAACTACCACCAAAGGGAATTTACTCTCCAATTCCAACATTTTTCAAAAAGGATTACTCCATTGATTATGAATCAATCCTCAAACATGTGAGATACCTATACCAAGCGAAGGTCACTGGAATTTTAATTGGAGGTTCAACTGGTGAAGCCATTAACCTCACCAGAGAAGAGAGGCATGAGATCATCAGGAGAGTGAGATCAGAGTTTCCTGATCCCAGCTTCAAGGTTATGGGAGGAGCTATTGGTTCTTGTATTCCTGATTTGCTTGATGATATCCAAGGCTTAAAAAGTCTGAAGGTTGATTACGCAGTTGTTTTGGTTCCAGGTTATTACGGTCCTGGATTAACAAAGCAGCAAGGTCTGGTCAATTTCTTCCAGACCGTTGCCGACAGCTCAAAACTACCTCTTTTGATATACAATTATCCTGGCGTTCAAAACAATATTGATCTGACCATTGAAAGCTATATCAAGCTCGCGAAACATCCAAACATCGTTGGGTGCAAGCTGACACACTACAATTTCACATTGTACACTCTTATCTGCCAAAATGAGGAAATTAAGAGTGCAAATTTCAGGCCACTTGCTGGTGTAGGCCAGGTTTTAGTTCCCGCATTGGCTACAGGAATTGAGGGCTGCATTGATGGATTGTCCAATGTTTTTCCAAAATCCATGCTCAAGGTCTTTAACGACTACGGTAAAGGCGACACCGTCCAGGCTGCAAAATTCCAGGAACTCGTTACAACAGTAAACGAAATGACTGCAGTTTTAAACCTGTTAGGTCTGAAGTTTGCTCTGAACCATATTCTGGGTATTGGTGAGGTCTTGCACGGAAGACCACCAATTGACCAGGACATTGACGAGTCTGTGTGGGAAAAGTATCTTCCAGCCTTTGAAAAGTTATGGGCAATTGAGAAGGGTCTTTGAATGGATAGTTATATAGAGTACTACATTATTCAAAATCAAGTAAGTTATCGTTGACATAATATAAAGTGGTACGCAATTGTTTGAAAAGTGTAGGCTAAGATGGCTGTCTATGATCACTCCTAGTTAAGTAAAGTGCCTGAATTCTACACAAGTAAGTTTCGAAATTAAAAAATGGAAATTATGGAGTACAAAAAAAACTTTCTCCAAGTAACAGCGAAACACCAGAGACCCCTCAGATCGTCTCCACATGCTCAGCCAGGGACGACTTTTCATCACCGAGAGCCTTGGAATGAGTAACATCTTGAACTCTCTGTTCCTCATTGATAGCAAATTCCTCAGCTCTTCCTCTTTGAGTAAGCACCTTGTAACGGGATACAATAACCACATCGTACTCTTGGAACATGTAGTCGATATCTTCCAAGGTACGTCTAGAAGTCTCAGGGTATAGGAAGTACACCACGGGAACATAGCAGAGAACGATACATGCAAAAAGCAAATAGAACCCCCATTTCATGTTGTCAATGGCCTTCTTAGTATATTGAGTAACGCAAAAGCCACAAATCCAGTTTGTGGCAGTGGCAGCTGCAGCTCCTCTAGTTCTCCATCCGATAGAGTTGATTTCTGAAGAGTAAACCCATGGAACTTTCGCGTAGGAAGTACCGTAACAGACATAGTAAAGAAAAAACATGGTCACCGTGAGACACCCCATTTCAAATTTAAGATGCGTATCAGCAACCTTGACTGAAACAGCAGCGATAATGTAGCAGACACAGCACGAGAGAGACCCCCAGATCATGAGTCTTCTACGACCAACCATATCGATGATGATCAAACACACAAACGCAGCTGCAAGATAAGAAGTGGCATTGCAAGCAGACAAAAGTTTAGCCCTTGAACTCGAAAAGCCAAGTTGGGTGGTGAGAATAGTAGGCATATAGTAGCCAAGGGCATTAACACCAGTGAACTGTTGCATGAACTGGGTACCCATTCCTAAGACGACTCTCTTGAGGTTGTGAGTTTTGTCTTTGCAGAGAAGAACATCCTTCAATGGAACCCTGTTTTTGCTTTCCTGGTCAATGATAGAAAGAATGGAGTAGTATTCTTCCTGGACCAGAGGATCTTCAGATTTGAGGTCTTTGCCCCATAGCAATGCAATGTTTTGCAGGCCCTCGTCGAATCTTTTATTGTTCATCAGCCATCTTGGGGATTCAGGCAAGAACAAGAGGATAGGGACAGAAAACATTGGGAACAGCAACTGAAACGCCATAGGGAATCTCCACTGCAATGGACCACTTGAAAAGTAAAGCCCAAAATTCATCCAATTCGCCAACATGTAGGCAAATGTGTTGGACAACGAGCCAACAACTACCAAACGACCACGATATTGTGCCTTAGTACATTCTGCCTGGTAAACGGGACAAGTTGATGAGGTGAGACCCATACCAAACCCGTTGATCACTCTGCCTATGATCATCTGGGGGAGATGAAATGCAGAGATTTGAAGAATAGCCCCGATAGCATTCAAAATCGAGCCACATAGAATCGTCTTTTTACGGCCAATCTTCTCACCAAAGGAGAAAGCAGTAATTGCACCGAGAAATGCACCGAGAGAAAAACACGAGGAAGTAATACCCGAGATGTTTGAGTCTTTGACTTTGGGAAAATGGGAGATGAAGTCAGCAGAAATTAGAACACCCGAGAAGACACCTTGGTCGTAACCAAACCAACCCATCGTCAACCCGTTCATGGCTGTTAGAAACCCCAAAAGATAATTCCCTGAAAGGCCCAAATGCTTCTTCATTTTGATATCGTGTGGAATGGCGCGAAAAGTTTCTGAAAAAATGTCAAAACACTTATTGCCAAATATCTTGGTCTATGACAACCACCGAATTCGTTGTCCTATATATATACACACAACCACGATGTCCACTTAATTCACAGCACTACACCCATGAATATATGTCCCAAAGGAGTGAATAGAAGGCGGCACTCAATATACTACAATGTTCAGGTCACTCTAGATCCTCTGTGCATGAACTGAATAATCCGGGGTAATATGGATTTGACGCGAGAGGGTCTTGGGTGGGGGAAAATTTCCTTTTTCAGAAATCTCGAGGATTTTGTGGTAGGTATTCGAGGAGAAATTACAGTATTATTGGTTGTAAGCTGTATAGAATTCTGAGTTTTCTGATTTCCCCACAAACACGGAGTGCGTCAAACGAGGCTAAGCGGGGATGATGCGGACAAAGCGAATTCGATGATATCATAGGGCGTTGGCCAAAGCGTGTAGATCTTGGTGGGGGAGGGACCGCACCAAGACGGAGTTTGCGCTTAAGATTCTATTCGACTTCTGGCAAAAATCAAATTGGGTGGATTAGGATTTTACTGATTGCTCCAGTTACTGGCAGTCTTTAAGAATGGAGGCGACTGTGGTTTGTAGTTAACTACATGTAGATTTGCTTCATTCTCCATTAACAAGTGAAATCCACTTCAGTGTATTTACGGCTTGGCAAAATTCATGTGTATATATCTTATTCTTCCATATATCTATTTGCTTTCTCGAGGAATAGTCTTAAATTGAGTAATAGAGTCAACGACACATTCCTCGAACCCGTGAAAGTTTACACCAAGATCTCTAGTGACCGATTGCCAATCCAGATCGTAACCCAAAGGATTCAGATCCGATTCGGGGATGGTGCCAGTGACAGTTTCTCCGAGGCCCGAGTCTTTCATGATTTTAGCAGCAAGGGCATACGAGAACTTGTCCGGTGAAGAAGGTACGTACCTCCGACCACCTACCGTTTCAGTGATCAAACTTCTTGCATGGGCCAGAGCCAAGTCCCTGACATCAACCCAGACAGGAACACGCGAAACGGGAAGTGGGTCAGCACCAGCATAGATATCCCACAAGATTCTGTTAGAAAGATTCAGACTCTCAACATTTTCAACGGGATGAACAACTGGGCCAAATGTCATAGGTGGACAAAAAGTCACCAGGTCGAACCCAGGTTTGTTGTGCTTGATGAAGTTCCATGCCTCTAGCTCTGCAAACTTCTTAGAGCCTCTGTAGGCAATAACTGCGTCTGCTTTGGCACTCTCTTCGTAAGTCAGAGGATTCCAGTCCTCGCCAGTGTAGGTGAACCCGGGACCCGGTCCTCTAGCCACATCCATGACAGACGCAAAAGATGAGGTCAAAACAATCCTTTTAATCTTGGGCTCGGTTATAGCTGCCTCGAGGACAATTTTCACACCACGAATAGCAGGCTTGATTAGCTCCTCCTCGGCATTGGTTACATCGTAACTCAAAGGAGAGGCTGCATGAATTATTCCATCGCACCCTTTGACTGCCTCGAGGAAAGGATTGGGCTGGTCAGACGAAGAACAAAAGTCTTCGATTTGAAAAGGCTCAATCCGATCGGCAAATTTTTGTCTCTGGGCAATGAACTCTTCCGCCTTAGCCATGGATCTTGTTGCCAGTCTGACGGTAATTCCCAGACCTAAAAGGTTGTCAACAATATGGGCACCGATGAACCCAGTTCCTCCGGTCACAAGCACTTTCCTATGGGATGTTAGAAGCGGTCAAAAAAGATTTGAAAGGACATGAATTTACTGAGTAAATGGAATACTCTGGGTGAACTGTGTGGCCCAACTGTCACTGTCCCATGATAGTTTCTCATACTTACTTAATATCCCACGTCATGTTTCAGTCCGAATTAAACAATTGAGTGAAACCTAAGCTTTTGACAAACTATCAACACTCAGGGACCCTCAGCGATATTTCAACCATTTTCCCGGCTCGACAAAACCCTTTTTGGCCCAGTATGAATCCAGTTTGCCATTGCCTCAGAATACTTCACTATGGCGGTTTGGCCCCTCCCCCACCATCCAAAGGATTCCCGATTCGGCAGACGCGCATCTTTCCTGCGCCTGTGGGGTAGATATGAGCTGAGGTGAACTGTTTGAGGGTCAAAAAGTTAGGATTGTTCACCCGTGGAAGCAAAAGGTTTGTGAAGCTGATCAGACCTCAGACATCACACATAAATGAGGAGCATGAAATACAGTGCCTGGCATTATATAGTTTTGTATTTTTAATAGAACATCAAATACCCCGACACCAGAAACTCAAGTCGTGTCTTCCACAGCTGCAGCTCGGCAGGGCAAGGCACTTGAGATCAAGCATAGTGTCTTTATCGAATGCAAGACGGTGATTGCGGGGGCCACACCCGCGAAGTTCGTGAAACTTCAGGAAACCTCGTACGAGTTTGTTGAATATTCACCTACAGCCACCAGAAGTGAGCTTCTTTTCCCTCAAACCGTCCATGTCTGAAGTATCGGCAAAGCCGGTGGCAGTACGATTTTATTGCGACTTCGCTGGCTGTGCGAGATCTTTCACGAGGCAAGATCACCTCAACCGGCACAAAAAAAACCACAGCGCAGAATTGGAGCATAAATGTGATTGGCCCGGATGCAACAAGTTTTTCACGAGAAGTGATGTGAGAGAAAAGCACTACAAAAGACATGAAGTCAAGAGCGGGATTGATCCCTCGCATAATCAACGAGCACATCGAAAGACTCAGAAAAGACACCAGATTAGATTCATATCTGTGGATGCAAATTCTATTGCCGAGGGAAAACGGCCGGCCAGTGATGCCCCAGATGGAAGTGCTTCAAAGCGGCGGAACTTGGAGGTGACTCAGTTTAACTCCACGCCGATTTTGAACGAGCCAGTGGTTTCATCCGAAGATTTACTTCAATGGTTACTCCAAGACTTCGATAGCTTGCCTGTCAGTCAGGATATGGATGCATTTGCTGATGTCTCGAGATTTCAGAGTTCGATCTCGGTGGGTGACCAGCTGGAGGTTCCATGCGAGCCACCCCAAGAGCAGGATCTAGACTTCCTACAGATTTCCTCACAGTTTCCATATTCTACCGATCAAACTACTATCAACTCGACAATAATGGAGGATCTCGCAGAGGCATTACCAAGCATCAAATACCAAGAGGAGTTCAGACAAGAAAGGCTCGAGTACTACTTGGAGATGTACTGGACGTGTTTCCATTCTCAATTCCCCGTTTTGAATAAACCTTCATTCTCCACATTCGAAGCACACCCAATTCTTTTGTTATCGATGATAGTTGTTGGAGCCTCTATGTCGAATTCTTACCAGAAGGCTCATCTTGCGAAACCACTGTTGTTTGCAGATTCGATAGCCGTTCCTCTAAGGTGGCTAATATACAAAAACAAGGAATTCAAACCACCTCCAAAATCGTGGATCGTTCAGTCGTTGACGATGCTGGAGTTATACGAAATTTCCAGCTCGTCACGAGATTTGCATGAAAGAGCGAATCTCCATCACGGATTGACTATCCAAATGTTGAGGCGATCGCCCATGTTTGGAGGAGATCCTTGGATGAAGTACAACTATGCTACAGACAACCAGAGCGTCATCACGGTGAACCGCTCCAGTGATACCGCAACATGGAAGAAATGGATAGAACAAGAATCGATGAAGAGAACGTCGCTTTTTGCCTTCTATCTAGAGACAGTTCATGCCATTGTTTTTGGCCATGAGATGATGCTCGCTTTGCATGATGTGAAGCTTTCGCTTCCATGCGACGAGAATCTGTGGCAATACGGATCTTGGGGATTCAACACCGAGTATGAAATACCCTTGAAATTTCTGGGTGCTATAAAAAAAGTCATTCACCGCCAGGTGGTGGTCGCAGGGGCTTTCGGGAAGCAAATGATTCTCTCAGGACTGCTCTCGCTATTCTTCCAGCTGGAAGAGAAAGACTTTGAGCTTTCTATCTCGGATTGGAATTCCAGGAAAGAAAAATGGAAGGGAACCATTATCTTGGCCATCAACTTCTGGAACTCCGACATCTGTCCCGGAGGATGCTGCAATATTCGCAACTCGGTGTGTTCTGAGTTGCTGCCTCTTTCCCCGCAATCCTTTCAGAAGGAGGATTTTACTTGCAAGAGCCCATTGAGACATCTTTATGCGTCATACACGGACTTGAAGCACTATGACTTCATGGTGTACGCTGGAGCACCAGGACGGATGAACGTGAAGTTCAGTGGCAAGGATACAGAAGCTGTCAACGACAGGGTCCAGAGTTGGTGCGAGAAGGGAGGAAATGCATTGGTCACTGTTATTCAGATATATCTGTTTCTTTGCGAAATGATGCTTGGAACCGTGCCGGAGTCCAACGGAACGAACGAGATTGATCCCGAAGAAGTTCCATACGATCCATCAACCGATTGCTTCCCATACCGCAAACACATGCTCACGCATATGTTGATCATCCTTTGGTGCTATAACTTTTACATTTCCGGTCCAGAATCCCACGCATATTCAACAGACTCGCCAATTGACGCCAGCGAGGTACCAGAAAAGGAGTCGGCACACGCTTACTTGAAAAGGATCAAAGAAGAACTCCAAAACTTGACGGGCCTCAAACTCGACTCCACAATATCAGGACAGTCGGCTCGCCTATTCGCAGACTCAGTTCCGCTTGTCACCCACAAACATCACATGGTGGGGCTTCTCCGTGCATTCAAGGAAAAATACGAGCATGACCATTCCGAAATTGCAAGAGAACATTCGCGACTCCTGGACAACTGTATAAAGAGAAGTCTTGGTTCACAAAGGGTCTCGTGCGACTACATGTTTGAGTAACGATAGGGTACAACATGCACGAGAGTGGTTGACAGATGGCACGTGCACGCCCAATTAGGGGGGGGATGATGTCTAACAAACAAGTAGTAAACATTAGCACCAGATAGATAAAACTCTGAAGTTTTGAATCTTTCCACACAGGGGGAAACTGTATATTATAATGCTCGAGGAAAAGAAAAGGACTCGAGGGAGTCCCGTGGTGTATTATATCATGGTGTCATTGTTGTCGGCTGCACTGTTGATAGAGGGTTGTATCGGGATTCACAAATTTCAGCACAGCTCCCTTGTAGACAAGTCGAAGTCCCGAATTACCAGCGCAGCTCCCGCCAAAGTTGAAGTATTGGACCCACAGAATGTTGAGGAGCTCCAAAGGCTGGGATTGACCCCTCAGCAAGTGGTTCAGGTTACGGACTCTCTAGGTAAAACCACACAGTACCATGGGAGGTTCCTCCATATAACGGATATGCATCCTGACCCGCTGTTCAGAAATGGCAGCTCAATGCGAGAATTGTGCCATAGAAAGTCGAGCGGCGATGATCAGGCTTCGCCGTATGGGGATGCCATGAGTGGGTGTGACTCTCCAGAATTGCTGGTGGAAGAAACGTTGAATTGGATTAGCAAGAACCTCAAGGACAAGATAGATTTTGTCATATGGACAGGAGATAATATTCGCCACGATAATGATAGACGGAATCCAAGACTGGAAATGGACATTTTTGACCTGAACCAACAGGTGGCTGATTTGGTTTCTGCCACTTTCATGGAGGAGGGTGATGAGAATATCTTGCCATTAGACAGAAGGATCAAGATTATCCCAAGTCTGGGAAACAACGATGTTTACCCTCACAACTTGTTCTCACCAGGACCAACATTACAGACGAGAGAGCTGTTTAAAATTTGGAGGAACTTTGTCCCAGCCGAACAGATGCACGTGTTTGATAGAGGGGCCTATTTCTTCACTGAGGTGATACCCGGCAAACTGGTGGTGATGTCGATCAATACGCTGTACCTGTTTCGCTCCAATCCTTTAGTGGATAATTGTGACAGTAGAAAACAGCCTGGATTCATGCTTTTCCAATGGCTTGGGGTTGCATTGAAGGAACTCAGAAAGAAAGGGATGAAGGTATGGCTCACTGGACATGTGCCACCAACGCCCAAAAACTACGAAGAATCATGTCTCGCCAAGCACATTGTGTGGCTGTACGAATACAGAGATATCATAATAGGTGGAGTGTATGGACACATGAACATCGATCATTTTATGACTCTGGATAGTGTGAGGGCATACAAAAACATCAAGACGAAGATGGCCAAAAAGGGAGTTTTACTTGATATTGATGAGAACTACTTCGACTTTAATGTGACAAGCGAAGAGCTTAACGATGACGAGGAGACCACTTTTGTATCCCATAGATACGACGGTGCACCCAATGGAAAAGTTGCGTATCTGGAGAGTGTTCGTGATGACATGTATTCCCTGGTGAAAGGGCCAAAGAAGTACGGTGTTGCGGCCGAAAGATACACCGTTGCCCACATTTCAACGAGCATTATACCGACATATAATCCTGGTATGAGAGTCTGGGAGTACAACATCACGGGTCTCTTTGATTCGTCTGTTGGAAAAGGTGAAGTGGCTGCCTCGCAGAGTGGCTATGCTGCCTGGTCCGAGGTGTTCGATAACATGGAGAAGATTTTGGCAGAAAACGACGAAGTAGAGGAAGAGGACGAGGACCAATATTGGGCGAACTACAAGGCTTCAAGAGACAAATCTTTGCCTCTCCCTATGCCAAAGGGAACTCCATTGGGGCCAGGTTATGTCCCTCAGTTGTTTTCGCCAGTGAGATATGCTCAGTACTTCCTGAACCTTTCATACTACTCGGAACATCCAGAAGAGCCGTTGGACTACAAGCTCGAGTATACTACCGATAAGCAGTACGGCATGAAGAGTCTTGTGGCGAAGGAGTGGATCCAGTTGGCTAGAACCATGGCCAAAACATCGTCTTCAAAGGCCAAGACTGATGATCATGACGCGGACGCGGAGGACCAAGTGGATGCGAGCAGCAATATATCCGCCGAGAAGTTGTGGGAAAAATACATCGCCCACGCTTTTGTTTCGTCGGGATATCAGCAATTTGAGTTTGCAAAGTAAATTAATGATATGTTATACCAATTTAAAGTAGAATTAGATATCCTACTCTTATCGTGCATCACATAAGTCGCTAACTGTTACCTCAGTATTACCCGGCCAAACTCATCACAAAACGCCGCACGCAATCAGGCGCTTATCGCTACACCACAATTCTTTTGTTGTGAAGAGTACAAACCAAACAAAACAGTTATGTCTTTGATAAGAAGAAGGCAGGGCCTTGCCAATCAACCTGTATTTCTTAAGGGTTCTGGTTTGCAAATTGCCAATCTCGTTGAAGCACCAGAACTGCCTGACCAAGTGTCTACGTTCTCCTCAGTCAAAAGAAGCATTGATGAAGAGGATGACAGATATGCCCTTTTAGAATTATTTCGTGACAGCAAAAATCAGGCAGCAAACTCGGACAAACTCCTGGTTTCTCGGCCAGAGTCTCAACACAAATTTATAGACGGGATAGTGCCTCTTGCATCTATGATGCTAGTCATTGTGACTCTTTTTGCACTGTATACGGTTCATAGGGAGTACACCAAGAGAAAGATTAAGATCAAGGAAATGACATTGGCTGAGAAGTTTGAGGACCAGGGTAATACCAGAGGTCAAGAAATGGACAATAACCATTTTTCTGCAAGGCTGACTCCATCACCCCAGAGGCTTCTTGTTCCGGATAGGTCTCCCAGACAGGAATTACTATCGGAACATCTACCACAACTGCCTCAAAGCGCTGCTCGTTCTGCCTTTGAGACCAACAGGGCCAAGATAGGAAATGACATGTTTACACATCTCCCTGCATCAATTACTGCTTATCCCACGGCTCTCGAAGTTTCACCAATCAAAACAACACACGAGTCGGCTACAAAAAAGGAAGAAGTGAAAAAGTCAGAATCGGGCAAATGGCTCAAGACACACCTATATAACATTATCAGTTCTCCCAAGTCTTGGGGAAAAGGTGGCTCTCCCAGCACGAACCACCAACCCGAACTTTCGGGAACGAGTTCGAGACTCTCAAAATTGGGAGAGCAGCCTGCCATTCTCAATTTCTTTGGCCAGAGTCAATCAGCCAGTCCCTTCAATCTCGGATTTACACCAAATGGAACTCCGATGCCCCAGATGAGAAACTCACCTTTAAGAGCACATAGTGCACTAAGATTTGAGCCAAACAAGAGCAAGTTCAGTATAGAGGAGCTTAGCTTTCTGTATCCAAGGGAGGTCATTTCAGATATCGAGGGTAATGTGAATGTTTCTGCACTAGCAACAATTCTTCCTACGACTCCGGAGCACTTTTCAACTGCAGAAGAAGCAGAGCTGGCGATTTATGAGATACAAGAAACTCTGATGTCGAGATCCTCATTGCAAAGGCCGAATATGGTGATGTTCAATGTTGCGAGGAATTTGGCCGTTGTGAGATTGATTTACATATCATTGGGTATGGACCGCAACGAAAATCCAAACATTTTCCTCAGAGCTTATCACAGATTCGTTGAAAAAATAGTGGAGTCAGGGCAAATTTTCGATATAGTTCAGACATGTACGGCTATCCAGGCAAATGCTTTGATTGAAACTCTGGTGAGGTACAGTCTTTGCCATTGGTCTTTCGACCAAACTGCCAGAATCCAACTGCAATCGCAAAACATAGACTGCTGGAAACTCATCCAGATACCTCGGTCAAGGGCGTTTCGTATTCTGACACTGATGACTCTATATGGTTTCAAGCAAGACATTCTCAAAGAAGCTCTTTTGAGAATGTGCGGCTCAACGAATACCCACAACCTGTTCTCGATACTACTGGAAGTTGAGCCGCTAACACACGATCCTGCGACTTTTGAGATTTTCCAGGAGATGAAAACAAAGCTGAGAAACTATCACAAAGGCTGCTGCATCAGCAAGCAAAACTTGGTATCGGCGAGATCTCTTTCTATGTCCAGGCGGAATACGCTGCCAGGCTCGTATGGCGCGAGTTTAGTGAATAGGTAGTGGTAACCTGGAGAAGCAGGGGAATGCTAAGCAGTTTATGGAGATACCATGAGTTTTACTTACCTCATGAATAATTTGGTTGGTTCGCCAAGCAAATATCAATCAATTATTTTGGCTGAGTACGTGTATTTCATTCACCGTATACGCCAATTTTCTTCAGCGTGCGGCTCAAGCCACCCCTGCCAGAGATCCGTGGGCATCGGCAGGCAGAACCGACCTACGCACATCTTGAAATTTTATCACTTCTTCAGTCCTTCTCTGATTCCCGAACGTCAGTCCAATTTGCAGCGCTAAGATCATGGGCTGGTACCCGTATCCTGTTGATGCTGACTCCAAGCTCATTAAGTCTCAACTTCTAATTGCCGGCGTGAAGGTTCACGCTTATGGCCTGGACAACGTTACCCCACCAAAAGCTGGAGAAACGAAGAAAGTAGCTGCTCTGTTTGTGTTGCATGGCCGCACGAATACTCATCTATTTTCAGGATCTATCGCTCACATCATTGTTGATGGAAGGTTGAAACTGGATTCCAACCCTGAATTACCCTTGGTGGCATTCACCATCGACTTGCCAAACCATGGTGAGCGTGCTGTCGACCTATGCCGAAACGAAACGGGACCTGTTAATCCCTTCGAAGTGATAGACCTTGCTTCAATGTGCAATGCTGCAGCCTATGATGTCAAGAATATACTAGAGTACTTGCCGGCGTACTGTCCTCAGTTTGACTTCGTGCCTTATGTACTGGGCACCTCAATGGGAGGGCACATTGCTTTCAAACTGGCTTCTCTGGTTCCCTTGAGCGGAATTATAGACGTTGTTGGAGCTCCTGATTTGGCGAGTTTGTATTACCATCGGGTGATCAATACTCCGTTTAGTGAATGTGCTCCCGGAATCTACAAGAAGGCCTACGAAGAGCTGGACTTGTCAGAAGAATCCAAAAAACGATACCCGAAAGCACTACACGAGAGCCTATCGTTATCCACAAAGAAATACTACTCGATAGCTCACGGAATTCCAACTTTTCTCGTATATGGAGAAAAGGACAATATTGTGAGCCCGGTTTACGTTTCTGAGCTGGAGCAACTAAAGGGCTTCCCTGGAACTGACATAGAGGTGTATTCGGAGCCTGTTGGTCACACAACCACCATGTCAATGATTGAGGCCATAAAAACATGGCTTTACAAGCGGTTGGACCAAGCAGTTTGAAAAAGCAGTCCAAGACATGGTCTGGAGCTTTTCGGGTTATCGGCGGAACCGCAGTCTACCTCCCACGAAATCGGCCTCCTTAGACCTAGAAGTCCAAGACTAGACGATCAGCATATATAAATTCAACCTCCTTCCCGAAATTCAAACCTCATCAGTACTCCCTCATATTGAGGACAGTCTCATGAAGTGGTACCATTCCTGTAAATCCATTACATAAGCAATGATCCCACTATTGCCTTCCTCATATCTTCAAATCCACTCTACTACTCTATCAACGTATGTGACAGGCAACAAGCAACCCTCATTAACCCGGATGTTCAAAGCAATTGTAAGACGTTCAGGACTTGGAGTTTCCACCAGGAGCCATTTTCGTGCGCTCGCCACCGGACAACCAAGCAGCGAAATTCGGTTGACATTCTTCACCAAGGAAAACTGTATGCTCTGCGCCAAGGCAAAGGCCGTTTTGGATGAGGTTCTGCAAGATCCTTTGATTGGAGAGAAGCCTTGGACCAGAAATATCAACCTCGAGATGGTCGACATTGAAAGTCCGTCGAACAAAAACTGGTTTGACTGTTATAGGTATGACATTCCGGTTCTGCACATTGATAGGGACATCCAAACAAAGCCTGTTAAATTCATGCATTCGTTGTCTAAAAGCGAATTGCTAGAGGAGCTGACAGAACAGGTGTAGGCAATTATAAATGAGTTAGTCATCACTGACTTTGAACAGCTTCTTAGACTTGGGGCTAGCATGACATCTCAGCTTTTTCTTCCTTTGAGCTTCATCAACTGGCTGCTGTCCTTCCAGAAAGTCTTCTACCTTGATCTTGACGTTTGAAGACAAGTTTAGGTCGGGTTCATGATCAACATATGTTTGTGTGGCGGCATTGAGGGAAGCATCATTTGGACAATCGGGCTTTCCTTGCAGACCAATGAGCTTTTGAAATTGATCTTTCATCAACTTCGACGTCACACTTTGACGAGAAGACTGTGACCGCAATTCTTGTATAATCTGTGAGCTACTCATATATGAGTCCTTTTTCAGCTGTTTCAAGTGAAGCGTTGAATCATCCGAAGTGACTTTGACCAGCTGCAGTATCTCTTTGAGAAGTTCGACAGGTGTTTGTTCAGCATTTCCCTTCAACGAAGCATAATTTTCGAGAAGTGTCTGCAATTGCTTTGTCTGATTTTCAAGAGATTTAGCAATACTTGCCTCGTTTCTGCTCCTGAGCTCTTCAACCTGCTTCTGCAGCCTCACAGTCTTCAAGCTCTTTTCAGAAAGTCTGCCCGAGATATCATTGAGTTGCTGTTTCAAAACTTGGTTTTCCCGAATAAGATAGTCCGCACATGGAGCTTCTTTGAGGCTTTCCAATTTCGTATTCAAAATCCTAACATCTTTGCACATATTTTCAAAATTGGCATGCAGTGCCTGCATCTCGATCCGTGTAGCAGATACGTCGTTGAAAATAGAGCCTTGCTGCACCTGGTGAGGCAAGTTTCCAGAGTAATTCCCGGTAGCAAGATTGAGCCCATTAGCATGAGTTTCAGTGGAAGCAGCTTCCCTTTTTGTTCCTAAAATCGAGTTCTTGAATAAGCTTACCTTTTCTTCAAAGTTATCCTTTTCTGAATCCAAAGCCTTAGTTTCATCTCTTTGGAATTTGAACAGATTCACAGGAGGTGACCGTGGCTTCCTGAGACTCTTTGGCTTTTTAGCCTGGGTTGAACCTTGCTGACTAGCCATTGATAGCAATACTCCTGGTTTGAATGTCGGTGAAGTTACAGAAGAAAGCTCAGACGTCCCCGAGTCTGCACTTTTCTCTATAACCCTAACACTGGTGATCTGAATATCATCATCCTGACTTTCGGAAATCCCAGAAGCCTTGTTGGCCGAACAAACGTTTGTCCATGCATTGGAAGATTTGACGTTATTCTCCTGCGTATCGACCCGAGTAATCAGCAACTGCCCCTTTGGTCTGAGTCGACATGAAATTCGAGCTTTTTCAGTCATATCGGGAAGAAAATTTGCGCTCCAAAAAAAGGACGGGATCAACTTCTCAACTACAACACCGTTCCATGTTGTCCAAAACACAGCCGCACGCACCGCCACAGCCGCATTCCGGTTGGGACCACTGTGGCTGTGATCTCCGCGGTGTCTAACCGTGAATGTACCTTCCACTACACGGAGCGGCATAAAATCTAAAGGCAAAGAAGTCTCTCAGAGATTAGTTTGGGGTTAAATCTCATTGAGAATTTGAAAATTTGCTGTTCCTTCAATGTCTTTCGGAGATTTGAATATCGATAGGGATACCTTGGGGTTCCATTGGCTACCTGTGTCAGGAGCGTTTGTCAAATGGAAGGTGCTTGATTTGATTTACTTTGTGTCGCTGTTCTGTTTCGATTGGTTCTTTTTGGCAAGAGCAGAACCATTTCAAAGACAATTCACAATCAACGATCTTACTATATCGCATCCTTTTGCAGAGCATGAAAGAGTGACCACATTTGCCTGTATCGCCCTTGACACGTTGGTGCCTTTGATCTGCATATCCGCAAGCGTCTTGCTACTCACACCCAAACAGCACAAAGTGCACGTCTGGTACATTACGATAGTGGGTTTGGGTGTGACTATCACAACCAACTCCTTGGTTACAGATGTTTTGAAGAATTGGGTTGGAAGATGTCGTCCAGACTTCCTGGCCAGATGCATTCCCAAAGAGGATGCTGTCAAAGACACGCTCTATCTGGCCAAAGACATTTGCACACAGACGGACCACAGCTTACTGATGGACGGATTCAGGACTACGCCTTCAGGCCATTCCAGTGGGAGTTTCTCAGGTCTCGGATACTTGACCTTCTGGTTGTGCGGCCAGCTAACCGTGTTCAAAAACAGAACCAGCGCCTGGAGGATCATTCTAGCTGGACTTCCTACCCTTTTGGCTGCTTACATAGCACTTTCCAGAACTCAGGATTACAGACACCACTTCGTGGACATTCTGCTGGGATCGCTGCTGGGCTCGATCATGGCATGGTGGGGGTACCGGAGGTATTATCCCGAGTTAACCAGTGGTTATTGTTATGAGCCTTACACCATTATCGACGAGAAAAAATTGACTGAATTTCAGAGAGAGGACGAAGACGGCTTCTATTTGAGCAACCATAGAAGTCAGGAACACTTGGATCCATTGAGAGAAATCGTCTAGAAATAAAGCGCTAAGAATCGTAAAAACACTCGAAATTCGCCACCTCAGTAGAATCATACCAAAAAATGATTTAATTTCAGTAAATTAACCTCCATCATTTCACATTATGTGACTAGCCCTGCCATCACGAATTTCGCTAATCTCCTATCTGGCCCCAGTTCCCCACTGTCACATGTCCCTCAGAGTTTACACGACTTCTGCTGATCAAAAGAACAAGACATGCAATCCATTTCTTTTCCAAAGTAGTCCCTTGTTACAACCGATTGTCTTGTATCGAACACTCTTTTAATCCGCAAGGATATCGTGAACAGCCCAACTTTGGTCTTGAAATATTTAGTGCCATTTGCAACTGGCTGTTATCAGTCGTATGGCTTACGTCTAACACTCCTTCCTTAGTTCTTCGAGCGCTCACCGAACAGGCCACCGTTTCACTTGTTGTGGACCATGAACTCAGCCTACTGTCTTATTTCCAGCGGGGACTTGCATTTCTTGCCTTGTCCAACGGATACAGATGCAGTGAACTCCCAACCTCCAACTGCTCGCTTGGCTGACAGCTACAGCGACTTCTTGAACAACAGATCCATGATATCCTTGACAAACGACAAGTTTCTTCAGACTCCGGGTCTGAAACCCGGGTTGGCTTCCGCTATCTCAGCCGAGAATTCAAGCAGCGATTCGTTGTCTTCATTTGGGTATCCTAGCGAGGTCAATCTCCACCAGACCATTTCAGAGAGACAAATTTCAGCACCAACCTATCCTATTATTAGAGGAACTCCAGCCGAGTCTCATGTCGACCCCAAATTGGAGAACCTCTTATCGCATTACTCCACACATTCAATGCTTCTCCCCGAGGAATTTGTTGCACCCTCTAATCTGGGTTCTCCGGCTGAGCAGCAGGCGGTCATCACTGAGTTACTTTTCAAGGTGTTTCCTCATTGGAGGAGTTCGAGCACCAGCACCATAGAAATAAAACAGCTCACCGGTGGAATTACGAACATGCTGTTGTCGTGCAAGAGGACAACTCTTGGTTCTCGAAAGCCTGAAATTGTTTTAGTGAGGACGTATGGCAGAGGTACGGACTTGATCATTGATAGAGATCGCGAGTTCGTTTCACAGCTGTTGCTAAACTCTTTGAGCCTGGCCCCTCCCATATATGCCAAGTTTGGCAACGGTTTGGTCTATGGATACATACCGGGACGATCTCTTTTATCTCATGAAATGTCTCACCCCTTACTGTACCCACTAATTGCCCAGAGACTTGGCCAATGGCATTCTCTACTCAGCGATTCTGAGATCGAGGAGAGCATCACAAAGCTGAAGCGTTTCAACACTAAACCGGGAGATAAGAGAGAGAATACCCCCAGAAATATCTGGGATCTGATGAGTTCGTGGATTGACATAGTCCCCGAGAACGACGGACTATGTGGTGTTTGCAAGGACAATAGGGACATACAGGAGGCCCCTGAAGGGGCCTCCTTGAAACAGGTTTTGAGAAAAGAGATGGAATGGGTTTTGAGTGAAATCGGTTCGAAATCGCCGTTTGCTACGTGCCATTGTGATCTCTTATCGGGCAATATCATAATAACACAATCTCTTTCAAAAGCGTTGCAGGTTGGTTTACGAGAAGGCCTCTCTCATCCTCCACAGAAAGATGATCTTACCTTTATCGATTATGAGTACATGATGCCAGGACCAAGAGCTTTTGACATATCCAACCATTTCATGGAGTGGCAGGGATTCGAGTGTGAAAAATCGCGCATCCCAGAGCCTACTCCACAAAACTCGTTACTGAGAAAATGGTCCAAGGCTTACTTGTCTTCCAGTGGGTCAGATGTCTCTTCTCAAGAAATTGATGCCCTCATAGAAGAAATAGCTCTATTTTATGGAATGCCTGGGTTCTACTGGGGAATCTGGGCTGGTATTCAAAGCGATATTTCGTTGATTGATTTTGACTATTCAGGATACTCATGCACGCGACTGGGGGAGTATTGGGACTGGAAAAGGAAGTACCTGAAGAAATAATTTAGAAAAAAAGCTCTTTGGCTTGGTATACTCATTGGAATTAAGGATATCATTAGCATACAAAACATGCAAGTTGTGGTCAACTGCTAAACACTTCACTTGCCGTTCACTTTACGGCTTCTTCTATTAGACGGCTTTGCTGGAGGAGCTTCCGCGAAATCCTCATCATCAGCACTCTCATCGAAATCATCAACATCCATATCTGAGTCCGAGTCTAGAACCTCAACAACTCTAACAGGCTTCTTTGCTCTTCGAGGTGGTGGAGTTCGTTCTTTCGCAGGAACGTCATGATCATCATTATCTTCTTCTGATAGGCTGTCGCCAGATGAGTTATCTGAAACCACAAATTTGGATGAACTAGCTTTGCTCTTCGTCTTTCGCTTAGCAGGTTTAACGCTTGAAGCACTGGAAGCTGACATGCTCTGACCCATAGAGTCTTCTTCGTTTCGAAGTTGCTTCAGGATCTGCTTGAATCCCTTCTTGGTGGCCACTAGACTTTGCTGAGTATCCGCTCCTGAGCCTTTCAACTGCTGTCCATGTGGATTGTTCTCGTCACCATCCAATTCCATATCCAGCTCAATAAATATCTTCATATCCTGCTCCATCTCCTCGTCGATTAGAGCCTTCAACACAGACTTGTCTTCCTTCTCCACAAAACGTCTAATTGCGTCTCCAACTTTGGCTTTGTTCAGAAGATTCAAGTCATGGTCATCCAGGAAATTATCCACCAGTGTGGATACATCAACCGTGCCATCCTCGTCTATACCTATAGAGGCAGAATCAGATATTTTCTTAGTGGTCTTTTTCGTCTCAAGCAAACTTCTGTCAGTGGTTCTTTTCCTGTAGAACGTTACAACGTCGTTGACATTCGCGACCTGGCCCACAAACCTGTTAGAGAATCTTCTGGGATTCTCGACGTCGTAACCACCAGAATATTCCACTCGTAATCGGACTAGTGGCAGAGGTGTTTCCAGATCACCTATGTTATCGTCATCTTCGTCATCATCCTCTTTATTTAGGGACTTCCATTCATTATTGGCTTTCTCAATGAGTTTGTTGACCTCATTAATGAGATAATCTGTGATATCACTCTTGGCCCGTGTTGTGGCCGGTATTCCAGTGGTAGAAAGAGCAACCTCTTTCATGACGAACGGCCTGACCGACTTCAAAGGTATCGCCTCCAGCGAGTAGTCCTTTCCCTTTATGCTCAAAATAAAAGTGTACTTCGGATCTGCCTCTCCCACAGAAAGTGATGTGGCTATTGACGAACCCGCCTGGAGAACATCGAACCCACCAGAAACGTTGGGCGTGGTATATGGCAAACTCTGGTGCTCGTGACCCCAGAGAACGAAGTCCAAAAATGAAGGCAGGAAATTCTCGGGAAGATAGGCTGTGTTGGAGTGTGCTGTGTGATTCTGGTGAACACATATCATGTTGAACCAGGAATCTTGTTGAACGTCTGGAGTGGTGAACTTCACGCCTCCATCTCTGAAAGTTTTGTACAGTCTTTCGTCTCGCACACTGGCCATTCCATACAGCGCAAGCTTAGTATAACCTTTTTGGAAAAGCAAAGGTGAGACGGTTATCGAGTCATTTTCTACGACTCTTCCAAAGTGATTGAAAAGTCCCGTGACAGAGATAATGTCCATAGGCGACAGCAGCTCGTCACCAGTAGCATCATCGTGGTTCCCCGAAATCCCAAACACTGGTATCCCGACATTGATATTTGGATCCTCATAATTGGGATAATTGAAAGCCCTGTTATCCATGGACAAAAGGGGGTCTGAAAGAAGTTCCAGCTCAACAGGTTTATCGCTGTAGCATGTGCTTCGCAGAATCCGCAGAACGTGATATAGAGACTTCTTCGACGGCTTATTGATATGGAACAAGTCACCACCCTGAACAACCATATCTACCTGTCATTGAACAATTCAGTTAGTGAGCTGTCCAATTGAGCAAAATATCTCATACTTACGCCTCTGTCTTTTGCCACATACATGATCTCCTCAAACGTCTTCCAGCTGTCATCGCCTCTGATCGCGTCTGTCTCGTTGTAGCCAACATGATTATCTGTTGTCAGCAGTAATCGTATAGTATTTGGCCCAGGCTCAATGTGCTTGACTTGAGGCATTTAAATACTTGTTCAAAACAAAGAACAACTCTGGAGAGAGTGTGAGTCACCGATTAAAAGTACATTATGTGTCATAGTGTGTGGTGAGCCAAAAGGGCATCGCATCGTGCCATTACTGCATCTTTTTTTTGAGTCTTGTTTAGATCTCTTGAAGCTATTTGATTCTTTTTTCTACTAAGAACTCGCGCTATTTCTATTATATTTTGATTTATTTTATTTTTCAACCGTTGTTTTTCATTGACACCATCCAGTTTGTTTTGCCATTTACGGTTCATTATCAATTATGGGGTTTTAAGCGGGAACGCTCAGTGTGAGTATGGCCTTAACAAGCAGCCAAGCCTCGGAAGACTAACAAGAGAATCAGTTTACACTCGGGACAAATCACACTGATATTATATTCACTTGTCCTCAGCCATCAAATAACCCACGAACGTACGAAAACAACAATACATAGCAGCCACAATGGCAGATTACCAGCAGATCCAACAGGATGAGTTCAATGCTCTGGAGGCCATCTACATGGATGACTTCAAAGACAAGACTGCGCAATCATCTGCTTGGAACGGGAGACCTGCTCCGAGCTTTGAGATTTCACTGAAATCGCAATCTGAAAAGGGGCCTATTTTGTCCTTGACGTTGGATGTCCAACTGCCAGCGACGTATCCCAAGACGGTGCCATTAGTGAAGTTCACGAACCAGAAACACATTTTGGACTCGCAGCTCAAGGTGATGATGGACTTGGTTTCCAAAAAGTGCAACGAAATGAAGGGAAGTGAGATGATCTTTGAAGTGGCCTCCATCGTACAGGACCATCTGGACATGTTCCAGACCAATGCCAAGAGCGAGTCGCTTGAGGAAGAACGCATCAAGAGACTCGAAAAACAGAGAGAGGACTTGGAGCGTACCCAGAAGATGAAGCAGGAAGAGATGGATCGCGAGAGGCAGAGAGAACAAGAGCTATTCGACAGAATGCTTGAGCAGGAGAAACAAAGAAGGAACTTTTCTCTATCTGACGCTGACGATAGTCCGCCTCAGGAGTTGAATGGAACCCCTCGTAAGATTCTGAGAACGAATTCAGGCCTTGATGATGCCAGCTATATTCCTGAAGGATCCGATCACGTTATCTTTGACAGGTTCATTACGTCTAGATTGGATGCTCCTTCAACCAATATCTCCTTCAAGTTCAGGGCAGTCACTGGACTGGTCCCCGTAACGCCCTCGGGTGTACTCAAGGAATGTTCGGCTCAGTATCTGGTAAAGCCCTATATACCCGAGTGCTCTCCCTTATATCAAATCATCTCGGATCAGGAGAATCAGGGAAATACAATTCATTACCTTCTGACCGAAGTCCAGCTCACAAATCCTTTCTGGCAGACCAATCAAGGCAAGAAAAGTCTCCATTATTTGGAACGCGAGCTTCAGTCTGTGTGTGATCTAAGAAGTGAGTTTGTGGCCTCAGTCTATGCTACACAGATTGAGCATATTTTCACAGATCCGCATATAATGATGGAGAGCAGTGCTGCGAAGAAGAAATCCAGAAAAGACGTTGATACCAGCGGAGCATGGAGAATTCGCATACTGTCTGAGGTTTGTGATATGGGCACCTTGAACGATCTACTGTCTACAGTGAAGTATGCGAGTCTTGCTACCGCTAGGGAATGGACCATACAACTTTTGGAGAGCTTGGAGTTTGTGCACAAAAAGGGCTACATTCACAAATGTTTGAACCCAGATGCTATTTACGTATACAGTCGAGATGCAGTTAATCCACCACGGGTGAAACTGTTGGGATTAAGTTATGCCTATACCATCTTGGATATGTTTGCAGATCATCCCAACTCTGAGTCGGATGAGGCTCCCATGATATGCAACGTATGGCCTGCCCCCGAAAGAATTGTATCATCGGATAACAAGGCACCAAAGCCACAGAGAAAAACAGATGTGTGGGATTTGGGAGTCACTTTTGTCCAGATGGTTGCGGGCCTTGACATCACATCTGAGTATGCGTCCCCTGAAGATTTTCTGACAAATTTTACACTGCTCGATGATAGTCTGCGGGAATTTCTTTGTGCAATCTTCATTACGAAAACCAAAAAAAGAAGCGATCCGTTGGGACTTCTGCCGTCAAAGTTTCTCAGGACGAATATGTCCGATGGGCCCTTGTCCTATTTATCTGGTCACTCTTCTAGTCAATCACATAAAACGGGTGCAGTTTCTGGATTTTCCAATCAGACCGATTTAGGAATAAGCAGAGATACGGTTACTTCTGCCACAATTCTCGACAACTCAAGATCACAGAATGGTGAGAGATTTGCGTTTGATTTGCCAAGACAGAGATATTACTCAAGGTATGCACAAGACTTCGAGGAGGTGGGTATATTGGGCAAAGGTGGGTTTGGTGAGGTTGTAAAAGCCAGAAACAAGCTTGATGGCAGATTCTACGCTATCAAGAAGATTCGTCATACTGAGGACAAACTGTCTTCCATTTTGAATGAAGTGATGCTCTTGGCCCGTCTTAATCATCAGTATGTTGTGAGATACTTTGCAGCCTGGCTGGAAGAAGACTACCACTCCTCAATGACCCGTAAGTCAGAGTCATCATCAGAAGAATCAGAAGAATCAGAAGAATCAGAGGAATCAGAGGAATCGGAGGAATATGATGAGGATACTGGCTATTTGTCTGGTGCCAACAGATCCCACAGCCATAGTTATGTAGATTTCATCTCTACATCAGCGCAGCCAGCAATTGAGTTTGGGTTTTCTGACGACGAGTCTGATTGCGACGAAGAGGAAATCTCTACTGCGTTTACTTTTGGATCAGATTCTGATGTTCCTGCTTCTCCAATGGTGAAAAAAAACAGGACGAGACGCCAGTCTGTTACCGCCACAAGGCAAAAGAGTACCCTTTTCATCCAGATGGAGTACTGTGAGAATCGTACGCTATACGATTTGATCAAACAGGGTCTTCCAGGCTATCCTGATGATTACTGGAGAATTTTAAGGCAAATACTGGAAGCTCTAAGTCACATCCACTCACAAGGTATCATTCATCGAGATTTGAAACCCATGAACATTTTTATCGACGAACAGCAAAACGTGAAAGTTGGTGACTTCGGTCTGGCTAAGAATGTTCATAATCTTTCTTTTGAGAATTCGGCAAGAAAGCTAAATCAGACGATGAGTACAGAGGACCTAACTTCTGATATTGGTACAACAATGTATGTTGCAGCAGAAGTTTTGACTGGAAATGGATCTTACAACGAGAAGGTTGATTTATACTCTCTTGGTGTCATCTTTTTTGAGATGGTTTATGCTTTAAACACAGGAATGGAGAGATATTCGGTTTTAAAGAATTTGAGATCTCTGGCTGTCATATTTCCGGGTGACTTCGACTCAAGTCGTCTTCAGACAGAGAAGAAAATCATAAGGTCTCTACTGGACCACGATCCTGACCAGAGACCCTCTGCTCAAGAGCTACTTCAATCAGGTTTGGTGAGAATCCAACAGCAAGACCATTTGATGAAAGAGGCTTTGAATGCTTTGGCAGACCCATCGTCGGCATGGCATCACCAGGCTAGAAACACCCTTTTTGCTCAGCCTTACAGTTTTGCTAGAGACCTTCTTTTTGGACGAGGAAAGGAGTTCACTACATCCGAGTACCTTCTATACACAAAGATGATCCAGGAAATCAATAAGATCTTCAAACGTCATGGTGCAATCGAATCTATGGAACGGCCAGTTGTGTTTCCTAAGTCTCCGCTGTACAATTCCGAGTATCAGGTATACGACTTACTGGACCGGACTGGTTCGATTCTTCAGTTGCCATATGACTTGACCTTACCCTTTGCAAGGTCACTCGGAAGAAAGTTACCACCTGTGCAGAAGCTTTTCTGTTGCGATTATGTATATAGAGCGAATGACAAAGATGAAGGATCTGGGCCTGAGAGGTTTCGCGAGATTGACTTTGATATCGTGACAAGAGACTCTAGCGATTCTGCTCTTTATGATGCCGAGTGTATCAAGGTCGCCGATGAGATCATCTCAATTTTTCCATTTTTCAGTTCTTCCAATGCGAGTTTTGTGATTAACCATTGTGGTATGCTGGAGGCGATTTTGGAGTTTTGTGGGATAGAAACCGCGCAAATAGTCAAAGTTGCGGCAGTACTGTCCGAGGTTGGTTATGGAAAGACCATGAAAGAGGTGAGATCGATCTTGAAGACTGATCTGAATGTCATGTCTACGGTTCTTAATGACCTGGAGCAGTTTGATTTCAATCTGCCTATAGAGGAGGCTCGTTTGAAGCTACACAAACTGATGACAGACAGTCCGTACATTGCGAACGTCGATGAGTGCTTGAAATACCTTGCCAAAGTTATTGGGTATCTCAGTCCTCTTGGAGTTACTACTACTGTGTTGATATCTCCATTCAGTAGTTACAATTCAGGTTTTTATGAGAAGCAGATGATGTTCAAGGCTGTTTATGAAGACAAGTTCAAAAACATCATTGCCGCTGGTGGTCGATATGACAATCTGATTTCTTCACTATCCAGGCATAAGACGTCTTCATCATTGCCTCATGCTGTTGGATTTAGACTTGCATGGGACTTTCTGTTTGCTACAATGAGTAGATATCAGTCAATGTTTGTTGCCAAGCACGCTTCTTCCAAAAAGAAAGCAAAATTTTTGAAGGATAATGTTTCCAAAGTCAAATGGGTTCCTACAAGATGCGATGTTTTGGTTACATGCTTCACAGGATCGATCCTCCGTTCCGCTGGTGTTGAAATCATAACGAGATTATGGTCTTGCGATATCAGTGCTGATATTCTGCGCAATTGCTTTACGACCGAGGACGTCATAAGCCATGCTCAGACTGATGGTGCCAATTGGATTGTCATCATCAAGCAACTATCTGGTGCGGTGGCCGCGGGTTCCAAAGGAAAGTACAAACCGCTCAGACTGAAGAACCTTGATTCACAAACTGATATTGATGTTGATATGGATGAACTACTGCAAATTTTGAAAACAGAGATCAGGGCTAGAGACGGGTTTGGTGTTCCTATTGGTGATGAAGGAGTCACCAAGACTGGAGACAGCGAAAACGAACATGACAACCATCTGACGGAAACAATGTCCGATAACATGAATGCGTTGAGTCTTGAATTGAAAAATGAACGCAGGGTTATTGTGGTACCTAATGATGCAACCCGAGCCAACAAGAAAAGAAACAAGAAGGAAAGTTGGGTTTTGGCCGACAGTTCCCGACTTGCATCTAACAAACTGATGATAGATTTATCGTCCGCCCCTGTATTCAGCATAGACGCTAGGGACGAAGTTTTAGAAATGATCGCGATCACCTCGTTGGACCAACCAGAGGAATGGAAGAGAAAAGTGGGGGGAGCATCGAGTTTGACTCCGCGCAGCTACATCACCAACATGTATGCTGCTCTATCGAAGGAGGCTTCAAGAGGCACACAGTGGGCAATTTTATACTCCTCCAAGACGGAGAAGACTTGCATATGCGATTTACAGAGATAGTGCACCAATAATGAATAAGTACATACTATTAATTTTTTTCGTTCGAGAACTGGTGAGAACACCGCATAAGTGCCCTGCTCAAAGTGCTTATATAATCCCAAGGTCATACACGGGGCTCTGGCATCTGAGCCTCTACCGCAATACCAACATATAACCTTACGTACACCTCTCTTCCTACTTCCCTATTCGAGTTAAGGGAGCTGGTTTTTAGTACAATTGGATTGATTGAACAACAGGCGCGAACCCGAATATTCTGAGGAAGGTTCGAAGGATTCCACTGTCTAGCACTTCCGTCATTACCCCGAGGCTCCCGCAATGACGAGTTTGACTGCCCCATTCGAGGTTGTTGCTGCATTTACGTATGCGTCAGATGTGCAGGGTGATTTGCCATTTGTGGCGGGTGATATTATTGTAGTTGATCAGGTCATGAATGCTGATTGGTACAAGGGTCATTACACAAAGGACGGATCAGAACTGACTGGTATCTTCCCGACAAATTATGTTCAAGTGAAGCCTGATTCTGAAGAAAAAACTGAAGCTGCTGTATCTGGGATTGCTGCTGCTTCTACCGGAGAACCCGAATCGGAGCAAGAGTCACCAATTGAGTCGTTTCAACAAGCTCAGCATGATCTGCCCGAGCCCAGTGCTCCCGAAGTGGTAACAGAGAGCGCTTCAAAATCACCATCGGCGTTCAAGGATCGGATTTCCACTTTTAACTTGAACTCAGCTCCACCTCCATTGCCTTCGAATTCTCGGAAGGAGGCCGCCTTTACCAAAAAACCTGTGATTGCGCAGTCACACTATGTTCCTCCTGGTTTCAAGCACGCCGATGACCACGTTGGTGTCCCTGCACCAATCAAAAACGAAACATCTGTTCCGCCGCAGCCTGTATCTCCTGTCGCGATACCTGCTCAGGATGAAGAAGAGGAAGGTCCGAAGCTGAGTCTCAAGGAGCGTATCGCAATGCTTCAAAAGCGTCAGCAGGAAGAGGCCGAAAGACAGGCTGCGGTTTTGAAGAGGAAACAGGACAAAGAGCAGAAGAAGAAAGAGAGGAAAAAGTCCGTGAAGGATGACTCTGAGTCACTTCATACTCGTTCAAGCATTGACACGGAGAGAGTTGATTTGGGAGAGTCCATACACGAGGAGGGAAAGGGCCACCATCGTAAATCCACAACTGAATTTGAAGGGATCGAGGAAAGTGATGAGGATGAGATTATTGAGCACGCTACAGGCGAGAAAGCGGACGAAAAAGAGGTTGAGGATGAGGACGAAGAAGCTGAAGAAGACGACGATGATGATGAAGATGACGAAGATGACGAAGAGGATGAGGACGAAGAACGCAGAAGAGCTTTGCGTGAGCGCATTGCGAAGATGTCTGGAGGTATGGGAATGATTGGTATGATGGGCATGCCTAATCCTATGGCTGGAGTCCCCAAGCCGAAACCCAAGGCAAAGAAGGCATCGGAGCCAGAGCCAGAGTCAGAACAGGCACCTCGTCCTGTTCCGGTGATGCCATTCGCCATTTCGCAAACTCTTCCACCAAGCCTGGGAGGACCTGCTGAAGTGAGTGAAGAAGAATCTGAAGACGAACCACCAGTGCCGGTTCCTACTGAGAGACCTCCCCATGCCTTTGCTGCGCTCGCGGCTGAAGGGGTTACTGAATCTCCAAAGTCAGTGAAGAAAGAGGTGGATGACTCCTTTGATCTTTCTCAGCTTCACTCTGATGACGAGGTTCCTGTCACACTTACATCAGCCGTCTCTCCCTCTCATAGAAGGTCTGACAGCAAACACTCATCATCATCCCGGTCCATACCGCCAGTTCCGATCCTGCAGAGCCCCAAGCTAACAGGAAGAAGGGCTTCTAAAACTGAAGACTTGAGTACAGGATACGAAGGTGATGAGGATACTGATGCTCCCGTGGTTGAGGAGGCCGAAGAACCTGCGTTAGGATCCGCCCCTCCCATTCCCACCTCACCAGAGGCATCACGTTCTGCGCCTCCTATTCCAACCTCACCCGTGGCATTACATTCTGCTCCCCCTGTTCCCCAGACTCCAAGATCGATCCCTCCAGTCCCAGTTGCAGAGACCTTGGATCACGACGACGATGACGAGGAAACGGACTCTTCAGATGAAGGCTCTGTCACCCCTCCGGCTCCTCACGTTGCTGCACCTGTTGTTCCTGTTCTTCCTGCTGTTCCGCCTCCAGCGCCAGCTCCAGCTGTTCCATCTGTTCCTGCTGCTCCTCATGTTTCTCATGTTCCTCCAATTCCCAGAACTTCAACTGGTGGTTCTTCTGCTGGTCTCCCACATCCCCCACCTCCACCTCCACCAATCGCTAATGTAGCTCCGGTGCCTCAAGTGTACTCGTCTCCAACCTCCGCTCCACCAGCTGCTCCTGTGGCCCCCTCGGCGACATTTGACACTCCTGCGTCACGTTCTGTTGCGAAAACGTCATTGTCAGGCACATGGTGGTTGCACCAACAAATCCCACCAGAGTTTGAGCCAAGAATTGGCAAGGACGTGTACGTTGATGTTGAAACTTTGGAGGTCCCAAAGAGGGCTGGTAAGGTGTTTGTGGTGACCGATTACTATGTTCTCCATCAGAACTACTCTCAAGAATTGATTGAGGTGAGCTACGAGAAGTCTGACCCTCACGGGACTGTCGCCTTGAGACAGATTTCCATTCCTGCACCAGCTTTTGATAAAGAGCGCGTTCGTGGATATTCCCGCACCCAAGGATATCCGGCATTTGAGCTGGCCTCTGGGGTATTGGGCCATGTCCTCGAAGCCAAACTGGTCATCTGGGTATTGTCAAAGCTCCCCAAAGCTCTTCCTCCAGTGGGAAACCGCACTTTTGGTGTGACTGTCTATTCGAACAATAACAACACAGACATCTCTACGTTGGATGACCCAAGACCAGGCGACATCTTCTGCGTCTCCAAGGGAAAATTCGAGTCAAGAAAAAAGCTGCAGAAGCATTCCTACGAACTAGGGTATAGCTCAGTATTTGCAGCAGTCATATCTGAATATGACTCGAGCAAGGGAAAGTTTAGGGTGATTGAGCAAGATGATTATGGTAAGGTAAGGGCAAGCAGCCATAGGCTCTCGGATCTGAAATCAGGAAGAGTCCGTGTATTCAGGATTGCGGAAAGAGATTACGTAAAATGGTAAATAAGACATGAATTATATTCCATACATTTTTTGTAGTATTAAAACTCATCCCTAGGAAAGTCCAATTCTGGGCCATTGATAAGTAGGAAATTCTTATGATTTCGTGATTTCTTCCAAAAGTGAAAATTAAATGCACGTTGCATGTACTCCCTTGACGCGCATACTCATTATGCATGCAGGAGTGAGCAGTTAAAAAAACAAAAAAAATCGACTAGATATATTGATCAAAGCAAATAATATAGTTATCTACTACAGTTATCATCATCGTCATCATCATCATCATCATCACAAGGATCCCAAAATTCGCTTACAACCCTTTCTAAGAAGACATATATAGAATGAAAAATGGAACTGCCACAGAAAAAGGTATTCAGCAAACAAAAATATCAAGCAGAAACAAACAATATAGCAAATGAAGAAACATCCATACCAGAGCCTGGCTCAATTGTCATTTCTGAAGTGATCAAAGTCAATTAGCGCTTGCATGCATCCCCATTCCGTGATCTTGTTCCTGAGCCAGTTCAACTGAACGGGTTTAGTCAAAAAGTCGTTACAACCAGCGGCAAGAGCGTTTTCCCTGTCCATCTGGGAGGTACTGGCAGTCAAAGCCACGATGATCACGGGAGATCTGAAAATCGATAATTCCAGTTTATCCTTCGATTCTATAGTCTTGTGCTCTGTTTCAATTGAGGAGTTGGCAAACACACCGATGCTGTTCAACTTCTCCAAACGACGGATCTCCTGGGTAACTTCAATTCCTGACATCACCGGCAGTTGAATGTCCATAAATACCAGATGGAACCCACCTTCGCGCCACATCTCAATGGCTTCTCTACCGGTACTGGCAAGTTTGTAGTTCACTTTGCAGACGTTAAGGTATTTTGCCATGATTTTCTGGTTGATTTTGTTATCTTCAACCACGAGCACATTGATATGGGGCAGCACTTTTTCAAGGGCAGTTTTCCGTTTCACTGGACCAGCCCCTATCTTCTTCTTTGGCGGTTTAGGCTTCGCCTTTGCAGCTGCCTTCGCTGCAGATAGTGTAGTGGCATCTGTTAGGGCAGAGGGAGGGGCAACATCAGCGCTGATTTCCTTCACACTCTCCGCACCTTCTGATATTCCCGGCAGTCTTTTCAGTAGCACATTGGCATCATTCGGCTTATTAATTGGCGCTGCCATATCCCTAGAGACGGGGCCTTTCAAGTCCTCCGCCGAGGAATGTCTCCTGGCCTTTTCGTTCTCAACCGGTGTGGCTCCACCCTTGGACTTGGGAACCAACAAGATGGCTGTAGAGGAAGGGGACTGCGGCGTTGATTGGGTCTTTCTGTGAATTCCTTGACGCTTGCCAGGTGTAGGATGTGAGTTCGAATTCGGACTTAGAGCGCGTTGGTCAGTTGGAAACGATCCAGAAGTCACGCTCACAGAGTCACCACTTAGAGAACCCCGTTGTCCATCGTTTGGTATGGACAAAATAGTGGGGATCGTCTGACCAGACCCCAGCTGCTCCGACTGATTACCTACCGCACCTGGTCTTTCTCCAGAGGGATGATAGGGGCTCTCTATTATAAAGGAATCACCCATCTGCATTCCTTGCGGAAAATAGTGGTCAAGAATCTTCCATACAAGAACGTCTGGTTCCAACGTTAAAATCACAGGAGCTGGAGATATGCTTCCCCGTGAAGCCTGTCTTTCCACCAAATTGTCTGTATTCACGCGCTGTAGATCGTGTGCTGATGCTGACTTGAGCAGAGTTGACCTGGAAGCACTGATGGGAATCGGCGAAACCGGTCCTTTTGTCTCAATTCCGCTCTTTAGATTTTCCTTGAGCCTATTCATCTTCCCCATCATGACGTGGGAGCTTGGAGAAGAACTCCTGTTCTGGAAATGCGAGTTGGAGTTCAGGGAGAAGGTGGAGGGGAGTTCAAGTTTCAACACCAAATCAGCAGGATCATAGTACCTCCCCAGAGAATTGGGGAATTTATTTATGACCATCGATTTCAAATCGTCAACGATATCGGTAGAAGATACCACTAGCGTGGTGGCGGTACCAGTGGGCCGCTTCACCCAGACTCGCTTCTTGGGGAGACCGTAGTTTGACACATTGTTGTTAGCCAGTGCTGTAGGCAATATTCCATCCGGTCGACTGGGAAGAGGAGGGGGAATATGGTGAATGGAGTTATTCCTTGCACCAATCATGTCCCCTCTGTTGTGCGGATTTTCGTGAGACAACAGACATATCACCTCAACCGAGTTGTGGTCTCTTGAAGTTTCAGTACGAGCAGGGGCCGGCTGTAATAAATTGTCCCACACACGACCATTTTCGGATAGCACTTATCTGATACCGTGCTTTAGAAGGCTTCAGGTGTTTGCGCACCAAGTGATAACCGGAAGGCCCAAGTGATGCTGGTTATATGATATGTTTCAATTGCGAAAGGTGCGGCACTTATTTCCACTTTTGTACAGGTGGTCAAGCGGAGCAAGTGGGAACAAACGAAACAGTTTGAATGCTAGTCTAAATACTAGTCTACAGGGACAGTCTACACTCACAGCCAGAGTGCCGAAGAAAAAGTTCCAGGATGTTTCTAACGACGTTCTACAGCGAATGAACTCGAACTTTCGATTACACAATACCATTACAGAGTCATTGAAAACTCCCACTTTCACTAGACGCGTGGAGTCAGACAGATCGTCCCCACCAGAGCTGCCGAGGGTGAAATTTTCGTTTCAAAAGTACAGAATTACTGCCCAGGAGATGAAAAAACCAATAGTGATGCCGCCTGAGTCCACTACAAATCCAGTGACCGAAAAAAACCCTCCTGCGCAATGTTCCGCGGACATTAAGGGTATCAACGGAGTGCTGTATCGTATGGCTTCAGTCAGAAGATTTTATGGATATAAAGTCCTTGAAAGTGGCTGGTTTGGGATGTCATATTATCCTCCACACTCATTTGTGGGAGCCCTTCGAAAATCCAAGCCGGCACTCGTATTTCAGTTTGATACGAGCACCTACTTGAACTCGAAGCAGCTGAAAAGAGGCCTAACAAATCTCCCGTTGAAACACCCATTTCAGTTTGAAGTGCACCGAAAAAAGACTCGTCAGCTTTACAGAAAGCTGTTCTGGAAAGCATTTTCGGATCTCAAGGGAATCGACGGCGTATACTTCGTCAGACTGTCGATAGCTCCCAATCCTCGTGCAATAAGTCAGGTGCGCGAATCTCTCACCAAGGCTGTCCAAATGACCCTAGACAAAACGTGGAGTTACAAAATGAATCGGCACTTCGAAAAAAATGATGTTAACCCAAATTGGAAAGCAATTAACAGAAGAGCAGTCGCAGCTGGAATGCCCGCATTGAAACCACCATCTGCCCCAAAGTCTAGAAGCTCGCCCAAGCAGGGTAAGGCGCCTCATAAGCGATACCCAAGGAATTAGACTCCCAGCGTCTGGCATGGAGCCATAATATCATTTCCTCAACTGACGGGTCTTTATACAGCTGTTGACTGCACTCTTCGCAACGTCCTCGGAAGAGGCTTTCCCTGTTAATCTTGGCTTGACCAGCAAGCTTCTCGAACTCGGACTCGGACCTCTCTATTTTTTTGTCCATCAAGCCTTTGGAACTGTATAAAGGATCGTTGACTATTGGATAGCCGAGATCACGCAAGTGGATACGAATTTGGTGAGTCCGTCCAGTTAAAGGTATGCATTTCACTATGCTCTGATTCAATTGTTCATTGAACGAAACCCGTTCAAACCTGGTTTTTGCTTCTTTTGCTTCAGAAGCTCCATGAGTGTACCCTTTGACTGTTTCATAAACCACTATTGGGTCCTCGCATAAAATAGCATCTGGAAACTTTCCACCCACTCGGGCTATGTACTCCTTGTGAACGGTCCGATCTCTTATTTCATTCTGGATGCGCCTGGCTGTGATCGATGATTTGGCAAATATCAGAACACCTGAAGTGAGCTTATCCAACCTGTAGCACGGATAAGCTGTGTGACCTAACTCCAGCTTGATGATCTCTGTGAGTGTGTTATAGTACCAATCTCTAGTTGGGTGGATAGGCACTCCCGAAGGCTTGTTTATCACCAAAACCGACTCATCTTCGTGTATAATATCAACCAAAGAACCATTTTCTGCATCCGGTCCAAGATAGGCCAACGGCTCGTGCTTGTGTGTAAGTCTTTCGATGCTATCCAGTTCCTTCAACTTTTCACTGAAGAGCCTTTCTCCAGAAATGACCTCGTTGGTGCGAGGGTTCGGGTTTCTTCGTATTTTGCAATCTCCCGCAAGAATCATCTTTCTCTAAAATCTTCTGTCAGTAACATGGTGTTTTAGAAACGCGATGGAAAGGTTAACTCTACTCACATAGTAGTCTTCCGTCTTGTTGCGGAACTCGGTGGTGAAGACGTCATATACCGTTCGGCCTACCCATCGTCCCTTAGTTCTGACGGAATCAGTATAATAGTATGGAACCACCTTTCTCAGACCATTTTCCCATATAAATTGGGGCGGGGTGGCCATAATGTCCGTATCGCTTCTCAGAAGACTGAAAAGTTGTGTGCGATCGTTTGTTTCGTAATTTTAGGCGGGGAAACACGGCCATCTGCCTTGGCCTTGGATTCCTTTTCCTGACACGCCTACAACACGCTCTCACCTTTTGATCTCAATTCTTTCGTGATAACAAGCCATGCGCGTTATCAGCTGTTTATTTTCGCTTTGGATTTCAATTGTATTTATTTGTACACCTGTGGAAGGTGTGAAATCATACCTTTTTAAGACATGCGAGCAGTCAGGCTTTTGTTCCAGGAACAGACATCTAGCAGGTGAGATAGCCAAGGCTGGAGGTGAATACCAGCCTAGATACTCAGTGAACATAGAATCCATACTTGCTCACGATAACGGTACAGTTTCGGGGCTGATAGAGAAGTCCTTGAATGATGGGTCTGTTGTTGGACTGCCGTTCACCATTAGTGTTCTGGAGGACAGCAACCTGAGACTGACGATTGACGAGGCCCGGAGGCTTGTGGGCGGTCTTGGGGTTTCTAATGGGAAATTGAAGACGAGGAGATACAATGAGGCTGCTGACTGGGCATTGCAAGATGGGAAACCTCGAATTGCCGAGAAAGGTGCTGTTGAGGTGAAGACGTCATCTGACAGTCTCCAGTTGAAATATGGCGAGTATGAAACATCAGTACAGTACTATCCCTTCAAAGTTGCTGTAAAATACAAAGGAGAGACTCAATTGATTTTGAACCACGATAACCTACTGAACATCGAACATTTCAGGACGAAAGAGGAACAAACGGCCGAGGATTCCATCCATGTCTCTCCAGAAGAATCTACTTTTGACAGCTTTCAGGACAGCTTCAAGGACAGCAAGAAGGACAAACTACCGTTCGGACCAGAATCAGTGTCTGTGGATGTATCATTCGTGGGATATGACCATGTTTATGGCATTCCAGAGCATGCCGACTCTCTCGAACTAAAAGATACCGTTGGTGCCGAGCCTTACAGGCTGTACAATGTGGACATTTTCGAGTATGAGATCAATAGCAGATTGCCAATGTACGGAGCCATTCCTTTCATGTTTGGTGTCAAGCCCGGATTTGCAAGTGGTGTCTTTTGGATGAACAGTGCTGATACTTATGTTGACATTGAGAGAGTAAAGCATGGAGAATCTACGTTAACTACAGAGAAGAGAACCACTTCTCATTGGATGTCGGAATCTGGAGTTTTGGATGTGGTATTTTTCGTGAAAGAATCACCACAGGAACTGTCTACCTCTTATGGGTCCCTCACCGGTTTTGTCCAATTACCCAACCTGTTCTCATTAGGATATCACCAATGCAGGTGGAATTATAACGACGAGTCCGACGTTTTGCAAGTCCACAATAACATGGACAAGTACGGAATCCCATATGACACGATCTGGCTAGACATTGAATATACCGAGGAGAAAAAGTACTTCACCTGGAAGAAAGAGCTGTTCCCGGATCCCGACAGGATGCTCTCTGTTCTCGATGAAACTGGTCGTTACATGGTGGTGATTATTGATCCACATCTCAAGGTCAATTACGAGGTCAGCGATTATGTTGTCAAGCACAGCTTGGGAGTTCGCGATTCTGACTGCAAAAAGACCTACCACGGCCACTGTTGGCCTGGTGAAAGTGTCTGGATTGACACACTTGACCCTGAGGCCAGTCAATACTGGTCCGAGTTGTATGTGAATGGCTCAAGGCTGATGGGAAACTCACAGAACTTGCACATATGGAATGACATGAACGAGCCATCGGTGTTCAACGGACCTGAGACCTCTGCTCCGAAAGACTTGGTCCATTTCCAGAACTGGGAGCACAGATCTGTTCACAATCTTTATGGAATGACTTTTCATGAGGCTACATATGACGCTTTGAAGACAAGATTCTACAACCAGCGCCCATTCATTTTAACGAGATCGTTCTTTTCTGGTTCTCAGCGGACGGCAGCCATGTGGACAGGAGACAACATGGCCAAATGGGAATACCTTAGAGGCTCCATTCCAATGGTGCTCACCCTCAACGTTGTTGGAATGCCATTTGCAGGAGCAGATGTAGGCGGATTTTTTGGAGATCCAAGCAAAGAGTTGTTGGTTAGGTGGTACCAGACAGGTATATGGTACCCCTTCTTCAGAGCACACGCTCACATCGACTCTAGAAGGCGAGAGCCTTGGATTGCAGGCGAACCATACACGTCTATAATGAGAGATGCAGTTAGACTGAGATACGCTCTTTTGCCTGTTTTCTATACTGCTTTCCAAGAGAGTCATACTGTGGGGACACCAGTGATGAGGCCAGTATTTTATGAGACGCCTAACAACGTTGCGTCCTACGGTATTGAGGATGAGTTTTTCGTGGGGAACTCTGGTCTTCTGGTAAAACCTGTGGTGGATGAGGGTGCAACATCCGTCGATGTGTATCTTCCAGATGATGAGCTCTATTACGACTTCCAGACCTTCATTGCGCTCCATGGACAAGGCTTCCATACGGTGGAAGCACCGCTCGAGAAGATCCCCGTCTTCATCAAAGGTGGTCATGTGGTTGCCATGAAGCAGAGATACAGAAGATCCTCGAAGCTGATGAAATACGACCCATACACTCTGGTAATTGCTCTCAGCTCAAAAGGTTCGGCTTCAGGAAAACTATACATTGACGACGGTGAGACTTTCGACAACGAGCTGGGAGATTTCGTTAATGTCGCGTTCACCTTCGATGGCAGAAAGCTGTCGTCTTCGGTTACGGGAGGTCTCGACCAGCCCTTTGTGCAATCGCTCGCTAGAGTGACGGTGGAAAGGATTATCTTCATTGGAGATCTGAAGCCAAGCAAGGAAATCAAAGTCTCGCAAGGAGGAGAACAATGGGTTGCACAGTACGAGTCTTCGGAGGGAGCAATCACTATTAAGAACCCCCAGGTGAAAATCAACAGCGATTGGACGGTTTCTGTTTAAATCATTTCTTCAAATCACATAAGTACTTCAATGACAGGCCAAGCTTTGTGAGCTTCCACTAATTCTCGAGCCCCATACGTAGTGACCGAGGCCTGCGCCAACAGCAACGCTTATCATCAACCACCAGTTGAAAGACATGAAAATCAACATGATCATGAACGAGTAAAACACCTGCAAAGAATAAAACAGAGTTCTCTTAATCTTGACCGGTTTGACACTCAATGAATCTGCTTTGTATATGGTTAGTATCTTCAACGTGAACCCTCAGACTTCCGATTCCAGTCCTACTTACTCTGTCTCTTTTCCCATGTGTGTATCCAGAACTTTGTGTATTCATATCCCATTGAGATTAGAATCACAGCAAACAAACTTAAAACCAAACCAGTTGTGTTCTTTATGTGCCACGAGGAGCTCAAGACACATAGGTCTTGGTAATCCCATGTTAGTAGCATGTTCATCTTGCAACTGGGAGACATATCTCCATCCCCAGGCATTGGCATGTCATGATAAGCGTGAGCTGAGTGAGATGAGTGGTCCATTTGAGGAAAGGGAGCAGCTATATTTGATTAGTTCTGGGAAAGATTAGAATGGTTGGAGATGGAGATATCGTTCAGGCTCTATTGCGGGAAATGTGCGCATCTCAGGCCGAAACGGTAGTGGCAGATAAGGGCAATCAAGACCAGCCCTATCTGCAGAATACGCAAATGTACTTCAAAAATTGTGATTTATCGACTTGTAATATACATACAGAAAATGTTTTTTTTCACAGATTTATATTAGTATTTCTGGCATGTTTATCAACACAGTCATTGTAGTCATTCTGGTCAATATAGCCAGGCTGATTTATCTAACTATATCCAATCGTACCATATATATACACGGGCCTTGGCCATTTAAGCCCACATCTACCACTTCACGAGAACAATTCCCCCGCGAGATACGGCGTGAAAACCACAACGGCGGTGTAGAGGGTAACAAAACACTCCACAATGGCAAGATGAACTCCAGCCCAGCCTCTCTTGCGGAAGTTAATCATGATCCCGTAGAGTGCCACACTGAAGAAATGGTTGAAAAGAACGAATGGCTTAGGAGTCATACCAGCCAGTAAACTAACCGGGCCAGTCACACATTCTCCACCTCTCTCAAAGTATCTGAAACATCCGTTCTTGAGAATGTTCAGGGCAGAACTGTCAGCAGCAAACAGTGAGTATAATGCAATCGACAACACGTTAATCACAGAGTCCAGATTTTTCCTCTCCTTGTGAAACTTCGACAGCTGCTCCAAAACTGCCTGGCTATCAGATAAATCCGGAATCTCCACAGGAGAAAGGAATTTGCCCAACAGAGCAGCATCGTTCAGTCCCACTGTCATTCCACCACCGGTGAGAGGATGCCTCATGTTCAAGGCATCACCCACGAAAATCACTCCCGGAACAGTATTGGGCTTGGCAGTGAGGAATTGGTTGGGCATGGATCTGTATTCTTGTTCTAGCGCCTCTTTGAAACTTGGCTTGACACATTCGGGAAGGTCGGGCAACACATTGGTGGAAAGGTACTCTTGCACCTGTTGACGAGGTGGTAATTTTGCGGAAGGATAAGCACACAGAACCCTGGAGTCATGCTCAGATATCTGGTAGATCAAGACTGGTGCATGATTTCCCAGGATCACATTTCCGTGCTGGGATTTGGGAAGAACAGCATCTTTCAGAGTTAAACCCACAAAGTATGACTCGATTTTGGGGACATTTTTTTCGGATAAGGTCTTTCTGAATTTTGAGTATATGCCGTCACAGCAAAAAGTCTGCAGTGCGGTGTATGAGACTTTGGTCTTATCGTCTGTCAAAGCGTTGATTCCTTTCACAGCCTCACCCTCTTTGATAAGGCTGACCACGTTACACTGTTTCCAGGTAACATTGGGCTCTCTTTTGCAGATCTCCCTTAGATTCTGCAAAAAGTCACCGTGATGGAACGAAACACCTCTCACACAATCGTCTTGGTCCCATTCTTCGAAGTCAAGACTTTCGTCAGATTGAAACTTATCGTTTCCACCAAACACACATCCCGGCACAGGGGTCAGCCTGGGTTGTCTGTCCTTGGAAGGATATGGAATATCAACCTTCTGTCCGTAGTTTGAAACACAATAGCCCTTCACTGGAATCGCTCCAATATGGCTGATTGCTCCTATCATGCCCATTTCTTTCAGGGCGTTCAGCCCACCGGGCTGCAATAGCTCACCAACGATCCTATTTGGCATTGACCAGTCTCTTTCAACTATGAGAACTTTGCGGCCTTGTCTTGCCATTATTGTGGCAAGACAAGGACCAACAACACCAGCTCCAATAACTATCACGTCGTAATCAGCCATGGAAGGTGTGGTAGAGAGTCGTAGGTTCAGGTTGGTCGAAGTGGTGTGCAGAAAGCAGGATCAAGAGGTCAAGCGTATAATTGTATGGTACAACTGTAGTCTAAGCGAGTGACTGCAAACAAAATATACTTTGGAAGAACTAAAACCGTGCGAAATCGGTGATGTCTTGAACGTTTGGAAAATGACCTGATGTTTAAAAGTGCATACAACTTCGAGAGCGTCGCGTTTTATATGTGCGAGTGCCAAAACCGTTTAGATCGTTTATTGAGAAGATCACATGATAATGAAAAGAAGTGCGCACGACGATGACGGCGATTGTCACGGGATAAAGTGGTAGCTTAGAGATCTAAGCCTCATTCAAAGTCTAGTCATTTCAATGGTTATGCTATGATCAGCGTTTAGACAAATGTTCTGATCTCAGCCGGTCCATGAAGAGATCACCTGCCAAAAGTCGTGGAACTGTCCAGTCTGTCCCAGCCTATCCCCAATTTCCCATGTGATAAGTCCAGGAATTAGCTTCCAGGTTGGGAAAATTGTGCCATCGCACGCCCAATTCCTTTGCACAGGGCCCGTTGCTTTTGAAGGGTTTGTCTTTTGGCTTGTTCTAGAGGACTTCTATTGAAACGTTGCATTTGATCTTTGAACAAGGGACAAACACTACAGAAGAGCGGTTTCCACTCAATAGACCAACCCTGAACAGAATGCATATCTTGGTGAGTACTGGTGATTTCCGTATATTGTTTTGACGTTCTCCAGAGTGCTAGACTAACACCACCAGTTAACCAACGATGATGGACCTCCAAGTGATGCGGCTTCGCCATACATAAGCTTCTTCGTCTGGGCAGTCAAGAATTTCACAAATTGGGATCTGACGATCGTGGTTCCATCCCAGCAGAGGTCCTGGATCGGAAAGGCCCATTTTGCAGGCAAGGATCTCACCGCCAAGTATGCCTATACTAACCTCACGAATTCGCCAACCGATAATTCCTACCAGGGTCCCTTTCCCCAGCCTCAGGATGAACTACGCAAGACTGCACAGGAGTGGATTTTGCTGGATGGAACTCCGGCCTCGTGTGCTGACATTGGTGTTCACCATCTTTACGACAAGTCCAAGGGCGAGATTGACTTGGTGATCAGCGGTCCTAACTTTGGCAGAAATTCTACTGCCCTCTACATCATGTCCTCCGGTACCGTAGGTGCTGCTATGGAAGGTGCTTTGATGAATAAGAGGGCAATTGGACTTTCGTATGCTTTTGAGACCAAAGACATTGACGAGCCCATACTCAAAGAGGCATCCAAGATCGCAGTCAAGCTTGTACAACAGCTTTACTCCAATTGGAGCAAAGACGCAGATCTTTACACCATCAACATTCCTCTCAGGCCAGACTTGAAGCTGGGAACTACGGTAATCCAGTATGCACCCATTCTGGAGAACAGATGGACTTCTTTGTACACTCCAAAGGATGAATCCAGATCCAAGACTAAGGTGACTGACTGGGAAAAGGACATTGTGGATGCTACAGCTGAAGACGGTGAAAAATTCGAGTGGAATCCGGACTTTGATTACGTCCACAAGTTTATCGAACAGACGACTGAGCCAACAGACGGAAAGATCGTCAGCGATGGAAAGATCAGGTATGTATTAACAGTATCGGGAACACCAAGATTATCTCGAATTTCGCCAGCGCATCTACTAACAGTTATTTAGTGTGACTGCATTGAAAGCCGTTTTCAAGCAGTGTGATAACGTCAACGTGGGGGAGATCAAACTCGAAGAGTAGGTACATTCTGTTTTTTTTGTGTACATTCTCTTGTCGAATTTAATTTATTAATTGGAATTTTCTAGTACTATCCCAGAACTAGTTGTTTTATCCCTGGAAGAATCGGAGTACGTCTATCCTGCCATTGTGTCGGCACTCAAAAAGGCAGACATTCCGTTCAAGAGCATACATTCCATACCGTCTGATTTCAAGGGGAAAGTCGTCCAGTTCGGGGATTATGAGCAGTTAGACTTCGATCTGCTGATGCAGGATAACAACTACAAGGCGTGTTCGTATGTGTTCAGGAAGTCTCTCATCAGAAAGCACTATCTTGCCAACACGATTGCGAGATATCTTTCCAAGAACCCAGAGTCTGTTCTGAAAAAGGCATTTCCAACCACTTTTGAATTTGAGCTTGATTATGCGGAATTTCTGGACGATTCTCTGGACGATTGCTATGAGTTGCGTGATGAAATGAGTGCCAATGAGGCTACCCTTGCGAAGACGTGGATCTTGAAGCCCAGTATGAGCGATAAAGGTCAAGGAATAAGACTTTTCAGAACCCAGGATGAGCTTCAGGCAATTTTCGACTCTTTTGAAGAAGATGAGGATGAAGATGAAGACGAGGAGCAAGACCACGATGACAATAATGGTGTTATCACTTCCCAGCTTCGTCACTTCGTGATCCAGGAGTACATCGATTTACCGTTGCTACTGCCACAATACGGTAATCGGAAGTTTCATATTAGATCCTATGTGGTATGCAACGGTTCCATCGAGGTATTTTTATACAACCGCATGCTCATGCTCTTCTCAAGTGACGAGTATATCAAGCCCGAAGGCAATGATGCCTTACTGATGGACGGCCATTTGACCAACACTTGTTTGCAGGTAGGCAAGGGTGACGATGATTTGACCACCAATGTCGTTGAGTTTGGCCAATCATGTTTGAGCGACGACTCCAAGAGCATAATTATTCAGAGACTACAGGCCATTTTGAAAGACCTGTTCGAGGCAGCTGTCAATGTTGATAAGTTCAACTTTCAGCCATTGCCCAATGCATTTGAGACCTTTGGGATCGATTTTCTGGTTGACGAGAGCCTGAACTGTCACTTGCTAGAGGTCAATTCATATCCTGACTTTAAGCAGACTGGAGATGACCTCAAGCAGTTGATCTACGGGTTGTTCGAGGGCATAGTTGATACATGTGTCAGTCCCTTCTTCCGCGACCAAAAGATCCACAACGCAAACATGATTCCTGTACTAGATTTACGCACCAGTGGCTCATGGTGATTCGATATCACCGTTGATCTCCTGGCACCATTTATAGATAGTGTTCTTGAGTCTGTCGGCTCTCACGAAGCCCGATCTGATCACCTTCAAGGACCTGATGTACTCTTCGTTCCTCTGTAGCGCAATTTCCAGTAGCTGCCTTGTTTCATCCGCATCTTTTGCATCCACTCCAAAGTCGGGATCCACCTTGAACTGCGGTAGGTCAAAGAAAGGATCTTCCAAGTTGATTGGATTTGCAACTTGGTTGGACTGTGCTCTGGTCATACGACGATCTTCAAATTCAGTCTTCAAGTCCCCATTCGAAGAAGAATTCTTATCACCTTCCTCCTCTTCCATCACCTCTGAATTTTCCACACTTTCAACAATTCCGTCCGTGAGATGGTGGTCATATTTAGGCAGCTTCAGGTTATCAGGTAGCAGGTTCCTGTAATCGTCCCCCAAAAACATGCTGATAAGCTTGGACATCTGTATCACCGTATCCTGTTCGCGCTCGATGAATTCAATCGTTTCTTTGGCTAGATTTGTCAAGTGGGAACTGGTGTATGTCGAGGAAACAGCCTTCCTCGTCACGATCTCGCTCGGATCCTGGATTGGTTTCAGGATAGATACCAGGTCTAGATTCTGCAGAGGATTTTCATCGTCATCATCGTCATCATCGCTCCATGCATCGAGCCCCTCCTCATCATTCTGCTCGGCAACCAACTGAGCTAGTCTGCGTTTCCTGTTTCCAAGAACCAGCCTCGAATCGTTGTTCTCATAATTCACTATCTCGACATCCAATCTGGACTCCTTATCAGACAGTCTAGAACAGTCCTTTCCATGCGATTGGTCAAATAGCTTGTTTCCCCTATTGGAATATGAATTTATTGCACGGTTCGTGAATCTGTTGTTCTTATCGGAGGCGTGCTCGTCTGTTTCCACACTTCCGTGTTTCGCGGTCTCCTCAAAGAGCTTTATCGTCAAATCCTCAGATATCGGCATGACGAGTCAAATATAGCAATTATAATCAGAAGAATATGAAAAAAGAGAAACCGTAACTTTTTACGTAGCGCTTACTTAAAGACTACAACATAAAACCACTTCGTTCTTTGCTTTAATCGGCCTCCTCAATCTTCAAATTTTTGAGCATCGCACTAGCACGGATGAAATCTCCAGAGGCCTGAAAATCCGAGGACCCACTAACAGATGAGCTGGATCTCTTTTTGTTGTGGATCATTAAACCATTCGTGGAATTTTGCTCAACAGCATAGCTTTCATCAATGTGTTTGAGATCGTCATCAATGTCGTCGCCGTCTACTTCTTCTTCGCTGGCATCGTCATCATCACCATTGGCTTCTGCTTCTTCATCTTCTTCCTCCTCTCCATCATCATCGTAATCACCTTCCTCTGAATCTGTATAATCGTAATCTTCGTCATCTTCGTCGTAATCATCTTCGTCATCAAGCTGGTCCACATACGACGAATCAGCGGTCTCCGCAGTTGGGTCCAAGGCCTCGGGACTTGGATATTTCAGCGTGGGGTTCACAAATTTCGGACTCTTTATTTCACTCTGTTCTTGCTTCTTCTGTCTCAACGCCGCCTCTTCGCTATCAACGGAAAGATTGTCATCCTCCAGATCACTTATTTCAGGAACGGGCTCTCTCCAGAAGTTCAAATCCGTGTACTGATCGTGATTGCTTATTACCTTGGACCCGGCCACTGTTTGGGTATACCCACTGGCACGAGCAGGAGGAAAGAAGTAGTCCACCAGTTCTCCGATATTCACGTAGGAAGACTTGTAACCTGCCATTTCCAGCAATTCCATATGAACTTCACCATCGGGGTTGATCGTAAAGATCTTTGAGGAGGGTACCCCGACACTGCGATATGACAATGCATCCGTGATACGGTTTCCAAAGCCCGCATAGAACGGCGTTTCCATAGATTCCTTATCTGATGATTCATACAGAAGCTTTATGTCATGCAAACAAGCCATTTTGAACACTTCTGGTCTCTTCAACACCATTTCGCGTCTGATTGCAGCTAGGGTTCTATCTGGCGACAATATCACAGGACCTGGAGGAAGCTGGATTCCATCCTGGATCACTCCCTGAAGATAGTACCTCGTAGAATCTGCCTGACCAACAGATCTAGAGGTCAAGTACATGATGTTATATCCATTCATTTGGATGTCCTTGAAAAGTTTGGCGACACCTGCATGTGTCCAGTCTCTTCCCAAAATGGTCAAGACATGACCAAGGGCATCCGATTTCGTGATAGTTCCATCAATATCCGATATCACAATAGGAACGTCATACTTCCAAAAGAATAATCTGGCCGAAATCACAGATTTCCCGCTGTTAACAGCGAATTTGATTTCGTTCTCGCCTTTTTTCAGTCCGAGACACTTCAATTGCTCCGAAGTCAGTCTCAGTGTCTTGAAATGGTTCAAACCAGTCAAGCCCTCTGGAGTGTCTGTATTCAAGTCAGAGACTGTGGATGTAATAGAGTTCGCAGAGCTCATGCTTGTGGGATATTCAGGAGGCGAAGTCCCCAGAGTGGACACTGAGTCTGTGAAGTCAGCAGCCAACTCGTCAGTGCTGTTCAGAATCAGGTTTCCGTGAAGGTCCCTCGCAATCTGCGAATTAAGATCAAACGAGTCACCTAACTCGTCCTTCAACAGTTGTCTCAAATGGGCTTCTGATTCTTCAGCAGTCTGGTCGTTGCTCTTGTAGCCCATCATGTCGAACTCAATATTGCCATTGGCATCGACTCTGGAGGGTATGTTCTTGGTAATGAGCTTCTTGGAGATCTCATGCATCTTTTCGCTGGTGAGTCTGTGCGGTATTGGTGAAGAAGGAGCTGCAGAACTCTGGTCAGAAGGCGGTGAGGTGTATATAGCAGGCTTCTCTATGGCCCCATCATCAGTAATTCCTTCACCAATATCCAGAAATTCCGGCTCCTGCAACGGGGATGAAGTAGATGGCCTAGAAGGCGATCCTAGCGATGAAGGTGAACTAACTGGCGATATCACAGGCGACGTTTGCAGTTCAGAAGGAACTTCAGCTTCAGTCTCGAACACGAAAAAAGCTTCACCGCCATCTCCCAATTTCATGGGCAAATTGGTTTTCTCGCCATTCACTATAAAATCAACCTTTTTTTGTGATGGCCTCAGCAGCTGGAATTTACCAAATCGGACGTGAAATGGAGAACATGCCAGATCACCATTGTCCTGCTCGACAACTATCACATCGATCGCTCCCGAAAGTGTGGCCGGGTTAATGGAGCTCCACGTCTTCGACACGGAGCCAATGGCTCTTCCAACATATTGCATGGCAATTGAAATTCCAGCGTTGGACAATTAGCGGTGAGTCTTTGTGAGTTTTGGGTGGCAAGCTATGTCCTTTGAAGCATGTCTGCTATCACATGTGGATACACATCTCGCGGGAAAAGCGGGTAGTGCGCGCAAGCAAATTTATGGTAGTGCATAAACCTAATAATCAAGACGCGGTTCCATATTTCAATATTCGAAGCAACGCGTCTTCTTTCCATGATTCTTCTATCACAACTAATCCCACTATAATAACACACATCTAACCATGCTTGAAGGTAAATTTGACGAGGCCTCGCTTTTGAAGAAGGTAAGTTGTTGATAATATCATTTTTGTGCATGTCTTTCTGAGGGCTACACCGCACATTGCACATCTCAGAATTCGCGGTTTCACATGGCGGCGACTAACAAGGCTACAGGTCATTGACGCTATGAAAGACTCCGTCAAGTTGTGTAACTTCAACTGTACTGAGAACGGTATCTCCGTCCAGGCCATTGACGACTCGAGAGTTTTGCTTATTTCTTTGCTGATTGAGGCTGGTTCCTTTGAAGACTATAGATGTGACAGAAACATCGTTCTTGGTCTCGAGATGGAGTCCCTGAACAAGATTATTAAGAACGGTAACGCGTCCGACATGCTGACTTTGGTGGCCGAGGACTCTCCAGATGCTCTTAATTTGATCTTTGAGGACAAAAGAAGGGACAGAATTGCAGAATATTCGCTGAAGTTGATGGACATCGACCAGGACTTCTTGAAGATTGAGGACATGAAGTTCGATGCTGTTGTCAACATGCCATCCGCAGAATTCGCCAAGATTTGTCGCGACATGAAGACTTTGTCTGAGTCATTGCAGATCATCATCACCAAGGACTCTGTCAAGTTCAACTCTGAGGGAGACTTTGGTTCTGGTTCGGTAGTTATCAAGTCCTTCACCGACCTGGAAAAGACCGAGGAGTCTGTCAGAATCACTCTTGAGAAACCAATCAACCTCACATTCGGTGCCAAGTACTTGAACGACATCATTAAGTCCACCCCTCTGGCATCCCAGGTCACTATCAAATTGTGTGATAAGCAACCCGCTTTGTTCGAATACCAACTTCCAAGTGGTTACCTGAGATTCTATCTGGCACCTAAGTTTGAGGATGAAGAGTAAACTTGAAATTTGTTATTTAAATTTGAGAAATGCTTTCCCGGAGAAACAGTAGTAGTGATACACTTCGGTGTTCTTTCTTGCTATATAATTTGCTCCAAAAACGGAGTTCGTATGCACGCCTTATGGGTGACAGGCAACACAAGTCTATAGGCATCGTGCTTATTGAGGTAGTATCTGAACAGCCTCTTAGTCCTTATGAATCCAAAATTCTCGTACAACTGCAACGCTTTCTTGTTATCAACCTCAGTTTCCAGAATGATTTCATCTGTGTTATACTGGTCGATCATTGTGGTGAGACTCTTATCTATGAGCGTCTTAGCTATGCCCAACCCTCTGAATTTGGGCTCCACTGCCAGCATCCCTATGTAGCCTCTCATGCGCACGTTTCTATGAGGCTCAACTTTCGAGATGATGCACGCGATGATGGTATCAGGATCCTCAGAGTCAACAGCAGTATAGCACAGCTGTGGCCACGAGTTCAAGAAGAAACGGTAGACGTATATCGAGTAGGGCTCAGAGAGGTGCACATCAATGAGCTTGGTGATCTGCTTCATTGCGTCATTGCGGCCCTCGAGCTTCGTGCTGGCGTCAAACTCGAACTGAGAGTAGACAATGGTCATGATATAGCGGGTCGTGAGAGTTTTGTGAGGATATAGATGAAAGTAGTGAATTATTTAAGATATTCCCTTATTGCTTCCACCCTTGTGGACTGAAAAATTTACCCCCAAAACGGACTTGAGGCCTGCACACATCATCATCTCCTAAATAGGTTCCTCATTCGGTCTCTTGCTTGATTGAGATTCTTCTTACCAGTAATATTCTCATACTTCAAAAAACTTTTAGGAGGGAAGTCGATAGGTATTTGGTACAGCCCTTTCAGCTGGACCATATTTCTTTTTTTGGTTAGACATTTGGAACAACGTAATAGCCAATTGAACACAACCACACCTTAAAAGTTGGGGTTACTTGCGTTAGCCTATGCGCTGATTCGCCACACAACCAATACGAAACATCATGAGCTCTAACAAGAGGGTGTCTATGGTGTCGTCACAGCACCAGCTGGGTCCCAGAATTCCAACGCTACAAATATTCAATTCTATAACTGGTGAGACCCTGTTGACGAATGCCTATAACTTCACCACCTTTGATAACTTTAAAGGTCATGTTAGTTCGAGCTTCAACATTCCTGTGGACAATCTGTTCTTGCTGACCCCTTTTGGGATCAAGCTGAAATTCTCCATGTTAATCAGAGAGGAAACAACAGAGATTTACGTGTTTGACAGAAGGCTTATTTCCAAGGATATCGTTCCTGAGGAGATAGTACAAGAACTGAACAACAGAGATTTGATCAGCATGATCAAGCCAATGGCCTCTCCTTTGAACAACGAGGACTTGAAGAGGTATGTGGATAGTCTGAGACCTGTTTTGAAGAATAGCTCTATCAAGTCGAAAGATATCAGCTTGAACGACCTGAGGCTACTTCTCAACTCTTTGAAGCGAAACACTGGTTGGGCAGCTGCGTTGCTTTCGGACTTCCGCAAGACAGTTTGTTCTTCAGAAGGTGAACTTCAGGAGGGCAAAGAAACTGCTGCAATTGTGGCTTCTCTGAATGTGCTGCTTCAATATCTGAACATACTGACGGGGACGCTGCAGAGAGAGTTTGCTGAGACTGTGGATCAACTGGAATCGGTCAAGAAGAACGCATTGAACGAGTCTTGGAGATCATATCTCGATGTACTACAAAGGATACGATTTTCTGTTGCAAAGTCGGATCTTGATAGTGTGGTCACGATCAGGATCTCGGAGTTACTGGACGAAAGGAATTTGCTGGCGTATTCACAACAGTCTACTAAAGCAATGAGACAAACAACCGAGTCTCTAGGGAAGCTCAGAATGGCCATTGAAAGGGAGATATTGAGCCCAAAATCTAAGCTCAACACCCAATATGATGACGTTCGCACTGAGTACTTACAGCCTTCCTCAGAATTGGCGATGACGGAAGCTGAGAATGAGGGATTTCAAGAACTAGAAGGGTTGGTATCACAAATCACATACCACTCAAAGAGTCTGCCTTCTTTTGAAGAACTGATAACTACTGCCTCAGCAACATCTGCAGACTTATCTGCCAAGGCCATTGAAAAAATCCACATGGTGGTGGACCTGTATACGAGATCCTCTGGAACCATGGTTCCCAGGATCATTGAGCTGGCTGATCAGCTTTATCAAAAACAGCTAAAGAAGATTCTCAAGAGGCAAAAGCTGCAATCTCAGATTATGTCCACAAGTTTTGTGACTGCTGGATTAGTGAGCTTGAATGTTTCCAAAGCAAGAAACAGTTTGAACAACTCTGTCAAGAACTCCATGGAGGAATTTCGCAATGCAGAATTGCGACTATCTATCGTGAAGGACTTGCCAATTCTATTTGGATCATGGCTGGTCGCCAACATGAAACGGTTGAAATGGGTTGAGAATGTTCAAAAGATTGCCTACCGTACGAACGAGATATTTGAACTGATCAAATTCAACGAGTCTTCCACCAGATCAAGATGGATCGAGGCTTTCTCGTTAGATCAGATGAAGATATCTGATTCCCCAGTAGCAGAGGGCAGTAATGCACTTTTTGCTCTGAGTGATTCTCAAAAGAAGAAGTTTGTTGAAGAACATTTGTTGTCTCCTAAAGTTGTTTTGACTGATGGGAGCATTTCCAGAGGCAACTCGAGAGCGAATTCACCACCTCCCCAGCCCCTGCAACCGGAGGAATCAAATCAACACGATCGTCTGCTCTCTTTGGGAAAGGTTATGCGCAAGATCAACACAAACGTGGTACAAACATACAATTTTGCTGCGCAACAGGCCCAGACAAGAGGACTTACTCGCAAAAAGGATATTTGGGAAGTGATTGCGGATTTTGTTTCCTTAAATGATATTATGAACTATTTGAGAAGTCTCAGAGAATGTGGATACAATATGGAGATTGTTTCCCATCTCTTCAGCATGTTGCAAGAGTTTGGGGCAGACCAGAACTTGCTCCAGGAAAGAAGCCCAACGAGAACGTTTGAGTCGCTTAATGCATTGGGTACTCTCGATGGGAATGATCCCAGTTTTGTGAGACAGCTGCGTGAGTTTGTGAAGAATTTCGAGATGGAGGGGTTCAAGATTTTAATCACACAAAACGAGAAGAGCATTGACGGAGAAAAAGATGCTTCTTCTGAGGTCACTGATTCGCTACTGAACAACACAAAGAATAATGAAAAACTCATAAGGGGTTACGAGGCTAGGATCAGGACTCTGGAAAACTTATTGCATCAACACAGCTTTCGCAAGTTTAACGACCAGGTGATCAGATCTCCATCTCCCAGACCGAAAATAACGTCAACACCGTCTCACGAGTCTCGCAAAGCATCGTCAAGGTCTGGGTCTACTTCTCCACTAAATGTTCCAATTTCAAACACACTTCTATTTGAGAATGGTTTCCCACAGATCGGCGAGAGAAAGAGCCCCGTCCCCCGTGAGGTCAGTTCCAAGATAAACGAGCTTAACTCTACGAACCAGAGCTTGAACGACGAAGTTTCGAGGCTCCGCACCGAGCTGAGATCCCGCAGCCAAAGCGTGAATTACTCCTCATCCTTGAGCTCGGAAAACACTCAACTCAAGCAGGAGTTGGAAGAGATGAGAGCTCTTAATAGGCAAATGCAGATGAAACTGCAAGATTCTGAAGTTGAGCATGAACGAGAATTGTCACGGAACAGAGAGTCGCTCACTTCTTCGTTTGAGACTACTATATCATCACTGAGAATGGAAATCTCAGGTTTGCGTGATGAGAACGACAGACTGACTTCTGAAAACAAACACTGGAGATCACAGTATGAAGAGGTCAATACAATGAAGAAGGATGTTCTTGCAAATATGACGGAGAAAGAATCTGCTTACAACAGGGAGATCATGCAATTTCAGCAAGAAATCAGTGATTTGAAACTCAAAATAGACGATTTGGAAGATGATGGAGATGAGCACATTGTTGCTATCCAATCTGATCTTGAGTCCCAACTGCAATCCAAAGACACAATCATCGTTCAGCTAGATCGCATAGTCGAGTTGATATATGCATACTTCAAAGAGCTTACAGAGGAACTCGCATCGAACCTAGCATTATGCTGTGTCATACTTGAGTCGGTAGGTCTTCTGATGATCCGAGAGCCCTCAGAGAACGAGACATCCTCCATCAAGATCAGAAGGGTTAAGGGCCTCAGAGAAAAACGAAAGGTCAAAATGACCGACACTAATGTTGAGTCTTCTGATGTCTTTGCTGAGATTTCTTCTGAGGTGCTGAACGAAACTGAGAAATACTCCCCTTTGATTCGTTGCGAGCCATTGGAGAATGACATCTTCAGCAATCTTCTGAAGCATGGAAAGTCTGGTGATGAAAGCGAGGGGGATGTTGTCAACAAAGCTAACAACGACTTTTTGGATGCCTTTGATATCAAAACATTTGACCCTAACTTCAGGAACTTCATGAAATTTACCAGAATTGATAAGGCAACCAAGCTTATGATCTCAGAGAGGATAGCCAAAAGGTTTAGAGACGTGGAGCAACTTGCCAGAACTCTCCAGAAGGAATGCAACCAGCACAAATCTGAGATATCGTCCCTTAATCATGTGCTATCGCAATGCATCAAGGTTCGTAACTTCAAGTTGCAAGACGTGGTGTTGTTTTTGCCAACCCGTGATCCCGTCGGAACTGAAGGTTCGAGTATTGACACTGACAAAAATGTGAATCTCGAGAGCATTGACCAACAGAACGTGCCTTGGGCCGTGTTCAACATTGGAGCACCCCATTACTATCTGACCAATTACCAGAGGCCTGGTGAAAAGAAGTCCACCAAGAATCACATCGATCTGACTGGGAGAGAGTGGATACTGGCTCGAATTTTGCGCATTGAAGAGAAACATGTCACCGCTGAGAATGTGTCTGATTCCTCTGAGAATCCTTTCTCACAGGGCTTGGGAACAACTTGGTTTGCAGTGGAAGCAAAGGAGGAAACTCTTGTCAAGGACGGGTGAAGGTTGCGTTGCCATCAAGATATTTGATATTTGGACTAGTATTTTCAGCTTTATAATGGTACCAATGGAATTTTTATGACTTAGAAAAGCTGTGGACAGGCACCTGGATGGACAGGCACCTGGACATGTGAGAGATCCATTATGCGACCAAATACAACCGAATTGAGCCCATCCCACACTTTCAAGTTCTAGAAATGACTCTTACCATCTTTCATCGATTAGCTTCATTTATAGTTCTTGATATACCTCCTCGCCTTCACTTCAAGCTCAGCACTCCATTCATCAATCTCTTCCGAAAGAACCTGAAGCTTATCAACAGAAACTTCAATGTCGTCTATTTGTTTGCAAATGTCGTTAAAGTCTTTTCCTGAAGAAAATATAATGTTAGTCCTTGTATGTTTGCCCTCACAGACCATGATACTTACTATGCTGTCGTATTTTGCTCCCAGAATCACTCAATGCATTTAACTGCTTCTCATAAGCTCGGTATCTTAACACAGCATCCGTGTTGATTGCCTCCATCATGTTCAAATCAGCCACGATTGTTTGAGCATCCAGCTCCAGTATCTTCCTCTCGCATTCAAAGGACTCCTTGACAAGGGTGCTGATTGGCCTATCCGTGATCTTTTGACGCTGTGGAGCTTCCTGTGTACCGGTGTGGCCTCTGGTCGTCATTTTATAATAACAACAATTTAGTTGCCATCAGTTTGCAAAAGAATGGCGTACAACTAGTCAATGTCGTGATATTATTTCTATGATTATCTTTAACTAAACCCCCTCATCGAGCTTGTGTGCGCCAACCAAACGGTCGAGATAACCTCCACTTTCGCATAATTTGTAGAACTTCGAGGTCTTATCTTTCAGTAGAGAAGAAGGACTGTCGAATTCTTTGACTTCTCCCGTTTCCAAAACAACTATTTTGTCACTGTCCATCACAGTGTCTAGTCTATGAGCAATTGTGATGATGGTTCTGTCTTTGAAAGAGCTCCGAATTGTCTCCTGTACAATGCGGTCTGTTTGAACATCAACCGCAGCCGTAGCTTCATCCAGCAGCAGGATCTTTGAAGGATTTAGCAATGCGCGAGCCAGACAAAGTAGCTGGCGCTGGCCTACCGAGAAATTGGAACCTCCCTCGGCAACTTTGGCGTCCAGTCCAACTGAGTTCTGAGGAAACTCGTGGGTATCATCGGGTTTATTGGTAGTGGTCATTTGCATGACATGCTCTTTCAGATGTGCCATTTCCAAAGCTGACCAAAGCTGATCGTCGGTATATTGCCCCAGTGGATCCAGATTCATCCTGACTGTTCCACCTATTGCCTGTGAGTCTTGAGGAATGATACTAAGTTTCCTTCTCAGGTCAAACAGCTTCAAATTGCCAGTATTGAGATGGTCAACTTCCACATGTCCGTCCGCTGGTTCTATGAGTCTGAACAATGCAAGAGCAAGCGTGCTCTTTCCTGCTCCAGTTCTTCCCACAACTCCAATCTTTTCGCAACTCTTGATTGATAAAGACACATTTCTCAAAACAGGATCTAGGTTCTTTCTGTACCTCGCGGAGTAATTCTTAAACTCAACAGCTCCGAACTCTGGCCATTCTTTAGGTGGTGATGGAAACTCTGATACGGTTTGGGGATCTTCCTCTTGGGGAAGATTGATATATTCCAGCATCCTCTCTACACACACGAGATTGCTTTCGACCTCAACCGATCTTCTCACAATGAAATTGAAAGAGTTAGTTACCCTCAAAGCATAGTTCATCACCAAACCTACCATTCCAGCCGACATAGGGTTCGCAGAGGTAAGAGAGACGATCGCCAGAGAGGATGCGACAAAGATAATCACAGAACCCAGAAATTGCAATCTGGTGGACAACCACCGATTCACTGACTTCATGGAGTAAAGCGACTTGTTGGAGTAGTTGATGTTACCGATATTCAGCAAAGAGAACCGGTTCTGCTCTCCAAAAGCCCTGATAGTATCTGTTCCATTGATTGTTTCCTGAAGATGGGAGTAGATGGGCGACCTCGCATTGCTGGTCATTCTTTTTAACTCTCTGCTCGTAGAGAGATAGAATTTCTGGTAGTAATAGTAGATCACAGAAAGACAACACATGAATACCAAAAAGAGGGGGAGCGAATAGCCAATCACTCCGAGAGTGAAAATGATTCGAAATAACGAGTCTCCAACGCTCACAAACATTCTGGCCAAACTTTCATCGACACGGTTTACATCGTGTGAGAATCTATTGGTTACTCTGCCTAGAGGGGTGGTCTCAAAGAACTCCATTGGTGAACCTATAACACCTTTGGCCATTCGATCGTGCAGATTTCTGGCACCTCTCAAAGAGCACAGCAGCCACATGGTGATGGACTTGAACAAAGTAGTCAAAGAGGCACTTATACAGAGAACAGCATAGATCGAGATAAACCAAAGAGGCCTACTGTTTGCACCATCCTCTGCGTTGTTTTCTGACCAATGTTTCAACCAATAGTTGGCCATCACCGAAAGCGTTGTAGTCATTATCATGAAGAACAACAGCAAAAGAACGCCGTCAAAACCACAGGCCTTAGCATACTCGCCATAAACAGACCATTTGACTTTTCCCGCGTTTGTCTTTTCCGACTTGATGAAGGTCTTTTTCTTCTTATGCTCATCTTGGTGGAGAATGTGAATAGGAGTGTGAGCCGATTCCATGGATGCTCTTCTGAGGGTTTGGTGTGAAGATACTTTGGTGAGCTCATGCGATTGCGCTTTGTGGTTTTCCAAACCAAGAGAAACATTTGAGGATTCGGATGAAGATGTATCAACAGATGTGACGGAAGAGGATTCCTGGCCTTCTGTCAAGTTTGCGTCGAAATCAACGCTTAGAGGCTCGTCGTCACCCTCAGATGATCCAAACTCCTTTATCAATTCATATACACCAGATTTGCTAGACATGAGAGCCCCGAATGTGCCTGTTTCCAAAATGGACTTGTTCTTTATCAACGTGATCTTATCCGCAGTTGGAAGAATGGTGACCGAGTTCGTTGCAAGTATCCTCGTTTTCGAGTGAAGTATACCTTCGTTACTGAGAACATTCTTGACGATGTTTTGTCCCACATGAGCATCAACAGCACTCAGTATATCGTCGAATAGATATACATCAGCACGAGCGTAGACAGCCCTGGCGAGGGAAACCCTTGCTTTCTGGCCTCCACTGAGAGAGATTCCTTTCTCACCAACGAGCGTATCATCACCATCAGGAAGAACACTCAAATCCGCCACAAGCTCGCAGGCTGCAATTGTTTTATCGTAAAAGTCTTGGTCAAATTTTGCTCCGAACAAGATGTTCTCTTTGACAGTGGCATTCATGATAAAAGCGACTTGGGAACAATAAGCCACAGAGCCTCTGATTGAGATCGAAGCCGGAAGATACACATCTGCGGATACACATGCCAACTCACCAAGAATGGACTGGATAAACGTGGATTTGCCGGAGCCCACCCTTCCAATAATGCACGATAATTCACCCTTGTGTGCTGTAAAGTTGATATCTCTGAGTGCAACTTTTGAGGACGCTTCTGAGTCAACGACAGCTTCTTCATCATCACCCTCAGAAGATGGTGAGTTCTTGCTCCATAAAAAAGTGCAGTTTTTGACTTCTACAGCGACTCCTTTATGATTAGTCTGTTTGGGAAGGTTCAGCACCAGTTCCTCGTCTATATCATCAGCAGTGAGAAAAGACGATAGCCGATTCAAGGAAACGCTGCTCTCTATCATGGAAGTAAGAAGAGCCGGAATCTCGAATATCGGTTCACTCAACAAGTTGAAAAGGGATAGAGCAGGAAACACGATTTCTGGTGTCAAAGGCTCCGAGGAAGTCAAAGCGTAGATTGAAAACGAGACACACGAAACGAAGAACGGAACACAGGTCCAAGCAAAGTTGACTATGGCAGCAAAAACACCGATCTTGCTGAGATTTTTCAGTTCTTGGTTATTTCTCACATCTGACAGCTTCTCCAGCATTGGCTTTTCCCAGGCATAAAGCTTAATGCTCTTAATGGTCATCAGGATCTCGGATACAATACTAGTTCGTTTATCCTTGAATTTCATCTGTTGCTTGTGAAATGATCGCAGTCGCTTTACCAGCAAAGAGTTGATTGGTAGCATGATGGCGAGAACGACAATACCACCCCAAGTAGAGGGACCAAGTATACGGAACAACAAGAATAATGCCAAGGCCAGTTTCGTTGGGGTGGATACCATCGTTTGAAGATACTCCGTCATGTCCTGAACCCTCATCACATCCACAGACATGTGGTTCACTATATCACCCGTTGACCTCTCCATCTTAGCCTCAGGAGAAATTGAGAGCGATTTTTCATACACCAAGGTCATCAGCGCAGACCTGGCTCCCAGACCAGCTTCCACCGTCTTGATGAAGTACTGGTTGTGTAATGATGTCTCAGCAACAGACACAACAAACATTGCAAAAGCCAGGGAGAACCCATAGATCAAAGGATAATCATTGGTGGTTTTACCGAAGTATGCAATCAGTAATCTGAGGAGTTGTGGTTGGGCAAATGAAATCACGCTCTCTGAAAAATCGAAGAAACATGCAATCGAGACCACCCTCCAGAATGATTGGATAAGAGCGATCAGCAGCGACGCCTTCTTATTTTTGAGTTGGAGCTGTTTGTTCCAGAAATATTTCATTTTGGAAGAAGAGTAGTTCGCATCTATCATGTCTGGAAGACTAGGAATGTCCTTGTCATCCAAAGTCTGTTTTCTGTGACACTCATTGATCAAAAAGTTCATCCAAGAGAACGTCAACGCAGAGAACAAGTTGTGGATATTAGTACTCATTTTTCGTGCTTTGTACGCTTCCACCAGCCTTTCGTTGGCTACCCAATAAGCCAGTTCCAGGAACAGAATCGAAGAAGAAAGAACCAGTAGCACAGCGAGAACTGGTGCAGCATTATCAGCCGCAATCGGCACAACTTCTCCAAATACTTGCTGTATCAGGAGTCCCAAATTAATCATTATATGGAAGCCCCAGAATAGGAGCAAACACCCACAGGGTATTAGCGAAGCCCTAGCTTCTTCAATATGGAGAGGAAAAACCCCAAATATCACCACCAAAACCGAAGCTCCATAAGATATCACCATAAACTTGTGATCGTCATATCCTCTAGAGGAAACAAGGCTTGTGAGAACCAACGCCAACAGTGCATACACACCCACCAGGCCCAGCTTGGCTATGTCATAGCGATTTCGGGAGGTTCTCCTGATTCTCGGCGTCGTCAATTTCAGACTGATATTTTGACCGATGCAAACAGCCCCTCCAGCAACGGCTACACCAAAAACCACCAGTGCCCAAAAACAGGGGTTCAGGGAGTTGGTCTTCGGTGAGATGAGTGGATTAAAGTTTTGACAGCCCCCGGACTCTGGTAGCCGTACCGCGAATGCGGATTGTGTAATTCCGGACTCCACCAAAGACATCCGACTTGGGTTTACTCGAATTCTGAACTGTTATAGAAAAAAAATAGTAGCCAACTGGATCTAGAGAGAAGCCCATACATGCTCAAAGATGGATTAGGTGTCTAAGTAGTGATTATGTAAAATGTGTAAGAGCCACACGACTGGTAGTGTGCGGATCACGGTCAAATCTCTTGATTAGGCTAACTACCGATCTACACTAAGATCACCAACATGACTCCAAGCAAAAAGAGGGAGAACTCACTCCCTGGAAACAGTCTCTTTGCGCCCGATTTTTGAGGGATTTCGTTGTCGTCAGGAGGGAGGAACATCTCACCTTCTCTCTGTGCTTTGGGGTCGTTGTCTGCTGCCTGTGATTCGGCATACAGCTGTTTGGCTTCGGCATCCAGGTTCTCAAAGATTTGTTCCACTCTCATTTGGGAAGTTATGATTTCTTCTTTCCTGAAGGGATCACCCAACTTTGCTATTGTTGCTTTGATAGGCAGCACAAGTTCTTCAATTGGCCCTGGCTCTTCGTCTGTCTCGAAGGTTGAAGACAACCCGAAATCGATTTGATAACCATTGTCATTCTCGTAACTGTTTCTTTCGTAGCTGGAATGCCCATTCTCATCATCGTCGTCTTCATCGCCGTTATCACCTTCGTCGTCGTCGTCATCGTCCTCATCATCACCACGGTCGTATGAACCATACTCATGACTATCCCATTCCAATTCTTCTCTATTGTCTTCTTCAATAACCCCAAGAAATGTTTTGAACGAATCTAGAACCGATCCTGGAACTCCGTTTTTCATCTCGTACCTAATATCTTCCAGCAAACCTTTGAAGTCTCCATCTTGGAGTTTGCCCAGGTAATCTGATGCGGCGCTAACTTCGAGATCCATGAGCAACTCCATTGGCTTGTCATCACGCAGTTCCTCGCGCTTAATTATTTGGAGTTCATCTCGGTCAATCTCATCGTTCCAATCGTCCTCATTTTGTTGAGTTGCGTATTCTTGGATCACCAGTTGCGGTGATAACTCGTGCGGCTCATCCAGCGGCTCATTAAGCGCCTGCTCGGATACGAGGCCTGGGATCTCCCCACGGGCCAAAGCAGTCAGTCCAGTGACTGACAGAGCCGTGGCATGATTGACAAGAATAACACAGAAGGTAAACAGCCAATAGGATGTAAGCATTGTGGCGAATGAGGTTTTCTTGGGGGGTCTTTTGGACCAAAACAGGACAGGCGTGGGAATGCCTTGATGACCGAGCCGAGAACCGGAAATGGAATGGGCTGATGGGTATCCACTCCCGCATTCCACCCCATGGAGCACTCTCCGGAACAATCTGCAGGTCAGGTTTTTCCGCGTGGGTTTTTCGGAAACATATAGATCTGAGATATTGCAGATAAAATGACCACCTCCTGCAGATAGGAGGCCATTTCCTCTAAGCTCTTCACGTTTTGCTCTGTATCAATAACCACGAACAACAAACAAACACAAATACTGATATGGTTGCTGCTACTACTGTTGATTTGACAACCCTGCCCAAGGCCTTCATTGATAAGATCGATTACTACGAGGATCTTTTTTGGGTTACACCTGAGACTTTGAAAAAAGTTGTCACCCACTTTGTTGATGAGTTGAACAAAGGTAATTCGGTAAAGGGAGGGAATATTCCAATGATCCCTTCCTGGGTAATGGAGTATCCAGATGGCTCTGAGACTGGTGAGTACCTGGCCATCGACCTTGGTGGAACCAACTTGAGAGTGGTCAAAGTCAAGCTGTTGGGCGATCACAAGTTTTCCACCGAGCAAAACAAGTACCATATACCTGCTGAACTCAGAACGACTCGTAACAAAGACGAGCTGTTTGATTTCATTGCCAAGTGCTTGGACGATTTCATCCAGGACCAAAACCCTTCTGGTGTTCCGGAAGGAACAGTTTACCCATTAGGCTTCACCTTCTCCTATCCTTGCTTGCAGTCTTCTATTGATGCTGGTGTTTTAAAGACTTGGACTAAAGGATTTGATATTCCCGGTGTGGAGGGCCACAATGTGGTACCAATGCTTATGGAGAAGGTGAATGCTAGAAAGGTGCCTGTCAAGGTTGTTGCTCTGATCAACGACACCTCCGGAACATTGGTCGCCTCGAGATACACCGATGCTACGACAGAAATGGGAGTCATCTTTGGTACTGGTGTCAATGGAGCTTATTTTGACCGTGTTCAAAATATCCCAAAACTTCAGGGTAAGTTGTACAGTGACATCAAGCCTACTGACCCCATGCTCATCAACTGTGAATATGGCTCTTTCGACAACGAGCATTTAGTTCTTCCAAGAACTAAGTTTGATGAGCGCATTGATGCTGAATCCCCAAGACCTGGCGAGCAGGCGTTTGAGAAGATGACTGCCGGTTACTATCTTGGAGAATTGCTTAGAATGATTCTGTGCGAGTTGTACGAAGAAGGATTGGTTTTCAAGGACTACAAACCAGACTCAGAACAGATCAAGCTTCTCCACAAACCCTACCATCTGGACACCTCATTTTTAGCTATGATTGAGGGAGACGATGATTTGATTGATTTGCCAGAGGCTTCTGCCCTGTTCTCTTCGCAATTATTCATTGATGCCACCTTGGAAGAACGTAAGCTTGCTCGCATGCTCTGTCAGTTTATCGGAACCAGAGCTGCCAGACTATCCATCTGTGGAATTTCTGCCGTTTGCAAGAAAATGAACCACTCCAAGTGTCACATTGCCGCTGATGGTTCTGTATTTGCAATGTACCCACATTTCCCAGAACGTGCTGCCCAAGGTCTTGCTGATGTCTTTGACTTCCCAGCACTCAAGGAAGGTGAGAAAGAATACCCAATACATATTGTGCAGGCTCAAGATGGATCTGGTGTTGGAGCAGCCATTATTGCTGCTCTTTCGGATGCTAGAAAGGCGAAGGGTTTGTCTTTGGGTCTGAAGCTTTGAGCTATCAAAAGTAACATCATTATGATTCTCTTGAGTTGGTGGTAAGTTCAAAAGCCGTTTCCTTTTATTTAACCTTGAAATGACTGCAAATATATATTTATAGAACAATAAATAGATGAATGAGTATGCCAATATATATCCAACATATACATACAAATATACATATGAGTAGTCATGAATAAACGTTTATGCATAAAATGTGCATATACATGCATTCAGTATACGCACGTTGCGGTCTCACCAAGTTTCCTGAAAGTACCTATGCTCGCTTTCGATCTGCTGAAGATATTGCTTAGCTTTATCTTCCGACCAATCATTGCACTCTTGTAGAATGGTCTCAATAGTAATGCGTATCTGTATTGGCATCTTTCCAGAAGACCCACAGAGATAAAAGTAGGCCTTTTGGTTGATTAACAAATCATTGACAAGCTCTTTATGCTCATACAGTCTTTCCTGCACATAGCCTCCACTTTCTCTTGAAAAAGAAGTGAAGAGTTGGAGTTTTCTGTTTTCCCACTGGGATCCATAGAGAAAATCCTGAGATCTATATCGGTGACCTGTGAAAAGATACATGTCCCTCGGAATATCCTTCCCGAGCTCGTACTCTATGAGTGACTTCATAGGTGCTATACCTGTTCCTGGACCAACCATGATAATGGGAGTTTGCGAGTCCAATTTGAGATTATTTCTGTGAACTTCAAACACAATCTGGTCACCTTTCTGCAAAGTCTTGATCCAACGTGTACAGAGACCCTTTCTGACCTTTCTGATGATGGTCTTGTACTCGACTATCGCAATGGTCAGCTCAACACGTCTGGAGTCTGGCCCAGAGGAAATGGAAAATAACCGTGGATGAATGAGCGGAAAAAGGTCCAGACAGTGCTCCAATGGGATATGCAGACTTTCAAATTCCTGAATGACCTCCATTATGGACCTTCTAGGACGGTTTGCATAATCATACAAACTCTCACTTTCCTCAACCAACGAGAACTCTTTCAGCTTTTCCCGGTGTCTCTCATTGTCAGAAAAGTGGTACAAAATCTGAAAAAAAGACCTTCTGGGTATGGCATTGATGTCTAGATGATGTGTGAACAGCGATCTCAACGTGAGTGGCATCACCACCTCTCCATCGACACCCAGTTCCCCATTCAATTGGATCAAATTGTCCGCTATGTGATCCCATTTCAAATATCTGAGCAATTGATCCACATCTTCCGAGTCATTGGTAGGATATAAAGCAACAGTATCACCAGGAGAATAGGCCAGGGAGCCACTATCGTCTTCTATCACAAGCTGCCTGACATCTTGGTAATGGGTCTCCGCTGTGATTCGTTTGTTAAAGACAATTGTACCTTTTCTGGTGGTGTCTCCAGCTCTATTCAGTGCAACCAGCTTCGAGTCTTCAGTCGCAGCTTTTTCGCCAAGTACAACAAATGTATTCTCTGGAGGCAATAGCGTATCCGAATTGACATCATCAAACAACACACATATCTTGCCCAGATTCTCGAAGAAAACTTTCTCCCATTCTATGTAAAACACTTCGGACCCGAGCGGGCTTTGCTCATCACTTTCACCACGAGGGCTCATTTCAATTGCACCTAGCTGGAGAAACCTGTTGTGTATTTTGCGGATTGCATGGTTGTATTTCGGGTACGAGGAATCACCAAGACCAAAGGTGGTGAATCGCACATGATTCAGCAGATTAGAAGGCAGTTTCTTCTGGAGCATAAACTTCCAAAACTTGGTAGCATTTCTAGGAATATCACCCTGGCCCATTGTGGAACAGATTACCACCAAAATCGAAGTTTCCAGAAGATTTTTCACTTCGAAACGGTTCATGGGCGTGACCGTCACATTGAACTGCTGGTACCGGCACTTCCTCGCAAGGACGTGTGCAAGGTCCGCAGAGTTACCAGTTTCCGACCCAAAAAGGATCACCAGATTTCTTTGGTTGGTCATTTGAAAGCAGTCGGTAACGAAGTATGGCCGTTTCACCCTGTTGTTCTCGAGTCGTACTAAATGGCTTTTCGATCAAAGCGATAACCAGCGTTCAAAGGCCGGATAGTACAGACACTACCATCCAAGATAAGCCGTCCTAAAGAGGAAAGAGTATTGAATTCGGAAGGACATGCCTTGGTACAATATATTTGAATTTGAGTTCTCGACAACTCCTGCTATTTACATAGTTTGAGACGGATCTCACCTTAACTCCAGGCCAAAATCCTTCACCAGCGTATCTCTAACCTCGTCGTTGTACCTGTTGATCTCCTCGTTAGTCAATGATCTCTCCATGGACTGATAGTGTATTCTGTAGCATTGACTCTTCCTGCCAGTCTTTGGTTGAACAAACTCGTCAATCAGCTTAACACTTTCCACTAGGTCACCAGCGGTATTCCTGACAATCTCCATCAAGTCGTTTTCGTGAATTGACCGATCCTCATTGATCCAGTATGATACGTCACGCATAGTGCCAGGATACTTAGAGTAGGGCTTGAACTTGGATATCTGGCCCTCCATGAACTGAGACTTGAATCTAGGATCCAAAGTCCAAAACAGCCGTATATCTGGAATTCCGAAGAGCAGCATCGCCAGTCTATCCAGACCTACACCAAAAGCCCAGCCTATGGTATCGTCCAATCCTGATGTATCCAGTACAGGCTTGCGAACAACTCCACAACCGCAGCATTCAAGCCACTCATTTTCCCACCAAACTTCAATCTCCCAAGAGGGTGCTGTCCAAGGGAAATAAGCTTCAACCCATCTCACTCTCAAAGGCTCATCAGTCTGGAAGACTTGAGAAACCAGGATCTCAATGGTTCTCTTCAAATGTTGAGCAACCAAATCAGTCTCTCTGTCAGTCATGTGATCTTGTTTTGGGTTGCGCTCTTCGTGAAATGGAGGGTTTGGATCTTCCACAATCATATTGGTTTTTGGCAGAGACTCAATGTCTTTTTCTAGCTGGTTGATCAGTTCTTCCTGCGATGAAAAATCTGACTTCTTCCAAATTCTAGCTCCCTCCATTTGATGAAAAACAGGATAATGCGTTTTATCAATCTCGTCACGACGGTAAACATCAGCACTAATCAAATACCCTGCAGTCTTGGAAGTTTGGAAGCATTCAACTTCATGAGCCGAAGTGTGAGTTCTCAGTAAGCTGTCAGAATTCAGATAATAGGTGTCCGACTTGGATCTTCCTGGATGATCCTCCGGAAATCCCAGTGCATCAAAGTTCTCATATTTAGTCACAAAAGGCTCAAAATCGTTAAAGAAGGTGTAATTGCCCATTTCGGCAAACTTTCTCTCTATCAGGTCTCTGATAATCCCGATGGGATGGTTCACGTCCTTGTGCAGCTTTCTTGGGGTAAGTTCCAGAATTCTGGGTGTAGCATTTGTCCAATCATCTGTTACGAACTCCTTCTGTCCGATAATAATTTTCTCGGGGACTGTGGTTTGTGGTCAGTATGTTGTAGGAGAGATCCGAAGACGGAGTCTGTTGCTTACCATTGGACAGCCACCTGGACAAAGCCCTAGGGCGAAACGTGCAAATCCTCCGTGGTATGAAGCTAATCATATTTTAGACAAAACCAGCAGCGGATTTTAATATAAGGAAATCCCAGATCCCGCTGTTTCTTTGGAATATGTACCTTTCTTACCATGTTTCGACCTCTCAGAAAGAAGGCTTGAGGTTTACAAGCCCGCTTGAAAAATGGCAGAATGTCGAAAACTGGCGATGTCCAGTCAAAAAGCATCGAAACAGACGATACTGAATCATCATCCTCCTCGATATAATAAATCTCAAAGCTCTCCCCATGATTTTCAGCGCTGGAATTCTGGCCAGACCGGTTCAGAGTTTCCAAAGGTTAACCTTCAAGAGATTCACACATGAGCTGGCTCCGCGCTTCAAGGTTCAAAAGAAGAAGCAGAAAGGAAGAATTGCTGTGAGAACAGGTGGTTCGGCCAAAGGATCGCTCGTCTCTTTTGGATCCTACGGAATCAGACTTAAGAGTGAGGGTGTTCGCATGGCTGCTGTCCACTTGAAAGAAGCTGATAATGTTATCACCAAGTGTGTGAGAGAGTATGGTGGAAAGGTCTGGAGAAGGTTATGTACCAACATCGCCATCTGCACCAAGGGTAATGAAACCCGTATGGGTAAGGGTAAAGGTCCGTTCGACTACTGGGCTGTTAGAGTTCCCACAGGAAAAGTTATATTCGAGGTGAGTGGAGACTCTGTGTTACACGAGAAGATTGCACGTGAGGCTTTCAGAAAGGCCGGTGAAAAGATGCCTGGTACCTTTGAGTTTGTCAAAAAGGGTGGTAACCCAAGATTAGGTTTGAAGGACGCCATCAAGCCTTTACCTCCAAAGCAGAACTTTCTCGCCCAGTACAAAGCAAATCCCGACAAGAAGCTGTTGAATGTTTTGAAGTCCAGGGATCCTGTATATAAGTTGTATAGTGGAAGGTCGTAAATAGAAGATCAACCCTTTCCGTTCTCCGATTCTTCTCTGAAGACAGTAACTAATTTCCTCTTCTGATGTCTTTATAGATTTTTCTCGAGTATCACCATGGTCTTGATAATAAATCCCTCGAGATGGAAGATATCCTTCTGACCAAGACTAAGCCGTTCGTCAAAGGTGGAGCAGGCATCCACTATAGAGCCTTTGATCTGGTCAACATTGCCTGATTTAACGTTACCAAGCAAATACCACAACTCCCAAGTTAATTCTGATAAGATCAGCTTTGACGGAATGCAATGTGCAATCAGGTCGTAGAAAGTCGATCTCGCACTCTGCACCATCTGGACGTTTCTGTTCTTGAGAATTTCAGCTCCAAGGTTCTTGATAACGCCCTTCCAATCAGGCAGTATCATGGGAGTCTTTGCAGTGATTTGGTCGTTGTTCATGTAGAGGGATTCCAGTAGCATTATGCCCATCCTCAGGTTTCTTTCAGAGTTCGCCGCAACGTTGGCGAAGATGGAGGGGTCATCGTCGAAAGAGGTGACAGATTCTTTCTCCAAGATCTTGTTAAATACCAATGACATCTCTGGAGCCGTTGGACTTGGAACTCTTATTTGAAGAGTTCTGGACTTTATAGGCGGAATAATGGTGGATGTAGAATTGCACAACAGGATCAATCTCAAATTGCCAGAGTATTTCTCCATGGTTCTTCTCAACGCAGCCTGCGCATCTCTTGTCAAGTATTCTGCCTCGTTAATTATCACTACCTTGAACTTCATCTTTCTGGTAAAATCAATTGACTCGGTCTGTGCCACCTGTTTCAGCAAATCCTGTATCACAATTCTGTCGTTTCCACTCATGTCAGAGGGAGTGATCTCATAATGGTAGGGCGACGAAATGACGTTGAATTCCAGCTTTCTCGAGCCATTCTCAAAAATCTTGACATCAACCTTCAACTTCTCAACTCCAGGCCCAAAAATCTCTCTCAACGTGGCCAACACTCTTGTCTTCTTGCCTGCTCCTGGAGGCCCGTACACCAACAAATGTGGAAAGTCGCCCGAACTAGCAAGTGACTTTAGTCTGTTAGAAATCCCCTCGTGGAAATCGAGTTGTTCCAGCGTTTTGGGACGATGCTTGTCTGCCCAAAGTGACATATTGTCGGTGAAGTTGTATATCCAACGATCAGACTAGTACAAGGTTATATACTTCATCCTTGATAAATGTTAGGCGACGCGTTCGCGAGAAGTCGTGTGTCTGCTCAATCGTTGACTTGGTGGCGCACGAAAAAGACGTGGCACCCCTCGGTAGGTTATAAAGAGGGTTCAAGCCGTGGCAGTCGCAGCTCATCTCCTTCACTGGTTAAAGGCTGAATAAAATAAAATATTCGAACAACCGCTTAGAAGCCCTGAAAGTTCCAGAAGCTTTGGATCCAAAATCTGAGGTCATTACCACGAGTAGTCTAAAAGTACGCTTAGCAAGCCTCAGAAACACTAAGCAAGCACCGTCCACGACCAGGTGTATGACTAGGTACTCATGCTAGTAATTAAACCTAAAAAAGACCTGTCATTTCAGAGAGGGGCATTAGCCCAACAGAATAGGCCAAAACCTAATATGACCGGTCTCCCCGTGTATGGAGCAACGAACAATACCATATAGGTATCACATGGATATTTGACGCAACCAATGTAGCCGTCCCCATCGCTTGAGGCATCGAAAGATGGAAATTAGGCGATTCCAAAGGTCATCTCATACCAATAATGACAAAGCCGAGTGACGAAGGAGGGTAGCCGCAGCCGAAGAGTCAACCGAGTTGAGGGGAACAATGC